CAATTATTGTATGCACCTACTAGAGCGCACATTGGCCTGAGTTATCAAAGATAGTCAAAATTCAATTTTTTATTTTACACCAATTTTTTTTTACAAATTCCAAATTAAAAAAAAATTGTTGACGGGACTATAATAATAATTTTATGTAGCCTCCAACGTACTTTAAAAGTGGGTTTTGTGTATTTCGGTCATATTTTTGATATTATGACTTTAAAAATGTATTGAAGAGTTTGAATTTACTATTATAACGAATTTATAATAAAAAATAAACACATTAAAAATTTTTTGGAACGTTGTAACAACGTTTAGATACAACTACGTATTTCCCACTTAAAATCATACACTTAAACAACGTAGTATAACAATTTATGATACAAATTTCCAACGTTGTCTGAATGTAGGTAAACGTTAATTTCTACCAGGGATGTTTTTCCCCTTTTTACAGTCCGCCGCTAGAGGAACAGTTGTGAATTTCACATACAGGGTGTCCGGGAAAAGGAGGTCAATCCGTTAACCATATATTCCTTGAGTTAAAACAATAAGACTTTCGTAATACCATTTTTCAATTTAGAGCTTCATGTTCGATATACAGGGCGAAAAAGTTTGAAATTTAAAACTGATTTTTTTTAATAATTCGAGTAATTGATAAGATATTAAGTTTAAATTCGGTACACTACTTCAACATAAATAGTTACATTTTTTGAGACCAACAAAATAAAAAACAATTGTCAAATAATCAAAATAGGGGGGTCCAGTACTCACTGACTCCCCCTATTTTTTAGTACGTGCGCCAATGACTTCCAAACGGTATTTTTTCAGGTAATCATTTATTGTTGAAAATTTTGTGTCTCTTATAAAATTTTGATAAAATGATTTGTTTTAGAGATAATTTGTAAAGTATGGGTCAGTCCATATCAAATTTTCGAAATTTAATTTTTTTTTTTGAAAAAATTTAGGTCATGTGATATATCATAAAAAATGTCTCTAATAGGCCTTTAAAATAAGCCATCACTCACCTTTCTACTTTTAATAGTTTACGAGATATCGCTATTCTTGCAAGACCCAAATTTATCGGAATTTGTTGATTTTCAAAAATCAATAAAACAATAACCACCTATCGAAAAAAATTCATATATGGGATTTTTGAGTTTTTTAGTGAGGTAAACAAATTTACCAAAAATTATCAAAATCGTGGGGGAAGAACCTTTGGTTGATTTGATATGAACTGACCCATACTTTACAAATTATCTCTAAAACAAATCATTTTATCAAAATTTTATAAGAGACAAATTTTTTTTAACAATAAATGATTACCTGAAAAAATACCGTTTGGAAGTCATTGGCGCACGTACTAAAAAATAGGGAGAGTCAGTGAGTACTGGACCCCCCTATTTTGATTATTTGACAATTGTTTTTTGTTTTGTTGGTCTCAAAAAATGTAACTATTTATGTTGAAGTAGTGTACCGAATTTGAACTTAATATCTTATCAATTACTCGAATTATTAAAAAAAATCAGTTTTAAATTTCAAACTTTGTCGCCCTGTATATCGAACATGAAGATCTAAATTGAAAAATGGTATTATGAAAGTCTTATTGTTTTAACTCAAGGAATATATGGTTAACGGATTGACCTCCTTTTCCCGGACACCCTGTATATGCATAAAAATGTGGTAAAAATTTCAAGCGAATATAATTTAAATTAATTTTGGCCTGAATCAGGCTTCACAGTCCAGTGTGCGCCATTTTCAATTTTAATTAATCAAAGTACAGGTCTAGTTAAGAAAATAGGTGCAGAATGCAGTCAGAAGGTAAATATCGATTAAGTTTGTTGATTTGTGTAAAAAATTCGAGAACACATTATGTTTAAACTAGTCGATAATTTCAATATTTTTACATGTAACTGCAGTTATTTTCCTTTATTTTTCACGCCTGTAATTTTGATCTGCAAGCTCAAAATTTGTGTCCTTTAAGTTTCGCTACAGCCTACGGCTCTGACATCTACAGCATTATAAAGCTATGCATGCATATGCATATATATGCATATGCATTAGGGTGTCCCTTATTTTTTATTTTTTCACGCATACCCTCTAATTATATTTATTACGTGTTTATATACTCCCAGTAAAAATTTCAGCTCATTCTATAAACGGGAATCCGTGCCGACTTGCATCTGAACCCTCCGTTAGCCAACGTTAGGCGCGCGGTATTTTGTAACACGGTTGGTCGCGAGGTCTTCGATCGTAGGTCATTTTGTGTTTGTTATTATGTGACCCTTATATTATAAATTATTGACAAATGTTAAAATATAGTTTTATTTATGTGTATACTTTTATAAAAATGTATATTTTCACAGAGAGTGGCTAGTTACCCGGAAGTGAATAGGCCGTAAACTCTGAAATTGATAAACTTAATGGGTTTTACTCTAAATTACTAAAAGAGTCTATTGTGAGAGATGACTACCGAAAACTTATTGAACGGTCTGAAATATTATTGGGAGGACATCAAGAAAAGAAATGCTTATAAAAAGCTGAAATTTCATATAACAGTATATTTTAGCAATACTAATTAGTATATTAATATATTTAAGGGATAAAATCAACTAAATTTTTTTTTGGTTATTTTTAATGGTCATTCAGATATAATAAAAAAAAGAATTTCGGGTAATTAGTTTTACGGCCTATTCACTTGACACTTCCGGGTAACTAGCCACTTCCTGTAAAAATATTCATTTTTATTAAAGTATACACATAAATAAAACTATATTTTAAGATTTTTTAATAATTTATAATATAAGGGTCACATAATAACAAACACAAAATGACTTACGATCGAAGACCTAGCGGCCAACCGTGTTACAAAATACCGCGCGCCTAACGTTGGCTAATGGAGGGTTCAGATGCAAGTCGGCACGTGTTCCCGTTTATAGAATGAGCTGAAATTTTTACTGGGAGTATATAAACAAGTAATAAATATAATTAGAGGGTATGCGTAAAAAAATAAAAATAAGGGACACCCTAATATGCATGCATAGCTTTATAATGCTGTAGATGTCAGAGCCGTAGGCTGTGGCGAAACTTAAAGGACACAAATTTTGAGCTTGCAGATCAAAATTACAGGCGTGAAAAATAATGGACATATGTCATCATAACATTGTCATGTTAACCAAATAGTCGCGTTCGGCAGGGGTGTAGCTATAAAATCAACCTATATCACTTTTCACATTTTTTGTGCTATTATTGAGCAATTTCTATATATTTTTAGCGATTTTTTAAGATTGAAAATGGAATTGCAAAACTTTTAACGTGCCAAAATAAATTAACGACTTAATTTTTCCTTTCCAAAAGAACAATTCTTTGGTTGTGATCCTTTTTTAAAAAGATATAGCTAAAATATACTTGAGCATTGCTTAATGCTTACTTTTTCTCTCCAGAAATGTTGCTTGAAGGGTTAAAAAAATCTTTGTGGCGATATGTTTACACAAAAATTGATTTTGTATTCTACACCCTGAAAAACAAGGGTGTACAGATTTTCATGCAGATATTCCGACAAGTTTTTGCCGCTTTTCAGGGGTTATGTACCACTGTGCGCCGGTGTTCATTTCAAACCGCAGCAGCGCGCTGTGTTTAGTGCCTTCTTTGTCTTTGGTGCCAGCATAGAAATAATACTTGTATACTAGTATTATTTCTATGAGTGTCAGGTTGTCCGTTTCAAAAAGCAGTTTCTCCAGAAAGGACTTTGACAGTTCCCTATCAGATAGACTCTATAACCTTTATGAAGTAGGGACGAGCTTTAATATAAAACCCTTAATATTTTTTTAAATTATATGTTAGAATCTTCCATTTTAATTACTATAGTTTTGAATAAAGTTTAAGAGTAAATTACGCTGCCAGCCGAAGTATTTTTGTATGTTCAGTTCAAAACGAAGTTTCCATTTTTTTAAGAGTAAATGTACATTACTACATAGCAAATTCTCGTAAATTTTACATTTTTTACAAAAACTCGATTTTTTATGTAGCAAGGATTCTTTCAAAAAACTGCGTGTTGCAGAGTAGCTCTTTAAATATAATGCATTTTTTCTCTTTCCTTAGTTCGAAACTGTCAGTGACAAAAGCTAATTTTAATAAAACTTTAATATTAATATTATGAATACATAATTTATATCAAAAAAATATTATCTGCACTGGAAAATCTTAAAACGTTTTAATGCTATTTTAAAATTGTTACTATGGAGTCTATTATAATAGTATAGTATATAGGTACCTAATATATATTTTTCTTACCAATGTGTATGATGGTGGTCTCTGCAACGGCATTGGTTCCGAATATGGTGGCGGATTTTGTTGTTTTACAAATATTTCTCTTTTAAAAACTCGAATTAAATTTGGGTTTGCCATTGTGACTCTATTCTGTATATCTATTAACTCCCTTTCAGGGACTGCATGTACCCGATTACTAGTCTTTAAAAGATATTTAATAATAGGAAGAGATTTGGATCTGTTGTTTCTACTAGGTTCCGCATTTCCCATTCTAAATGTAGGATGGTTTTTAGAATTTTCTTCAGAATTTTGTGTGTTTGAGAAATATCTGGTAATTACTTTAATCTCAGACATTTTATTGTCACTTAAAGATTTTTTTAAGATTTTTTTTCTGCGTTTATATTTACTTTGCTTGTATCTATTTCTTGATTTTCTTAGTGTTGAAGCAATTGAAACATTATTTTCACTTTGAGATCTTGATAAATAATTTAAATTAAAATATTTTTCATCCAGTGTAGTATTACTACTGGTGGGTAATGAGATCCAATCATTATCTTTGTTTGCCATTTTTAATCAAAAATATGTTTTGACATTTTCAAAAACATGTCAACCTAACTAAATTATTTTGATGACTTCATTTTTTATGGTTCACTAAACTGTTTTGTAAATTGTGTTGGTTTAAATACTTACCAAAATTTTTCAAAAGGGGTATTTTAAATAAAATCAAAAATTACCAAAACATAGAGCTTTATTTATATATTAGGCTAAAATATTGATTTTTTTGTCCTAATATTCTTAAGAAATAACATTCAAAATGTAAGTAAGTTTAAAATATTTATTTGCACAGTAAAAACTTGTATAAAATCCATAAAATTAATAACATAACATCCAAAATGTAGGTATGTAAATTTGCAAAAATTTATTTGCGCTGTAAAAACAGTATAAAAGTCACAAGCCTATGGGTATGCAAATATAGAAAATAAAAATAGTGCACAAAAATAAAATAAAATAACAAGTATACAAAATCCTAAAATAGTAACAAAAAAAATATCTTCATACGTGACTAGTAGTTTGTGCATAAAAACGAAAACCTAAGTCTAAGAAATTTGAATAATTAATTTTGTTACCGAAAAAGTGTAAAAACCTGTCTAGGCGGCTCCTCTAAGAGCTTCAATTTGGGTAACTAGTTCCTCTTGCAAACGCGGGTCTGTTAGGTGGATAGTTCTTACCATCGCATCGTTCGACTTAAAGAGCTTCTTTTTGCCACTTGAGGTAGTTATGGATACTCCCTTAGGAATAACTTTGGCTGGGGTAGTCAGTTCTTGCCAAGTGTAAGACCAATCGATCTAAAATTTAATCTTAATTATAGAAGATAAATTATGCAGAGTGTTCAAAAAATACATGTAAAACGAATTAGCATACCATACATACAGTTTCTGTATCCAAAGTTTTTTCGTTTAGCCGCCAGGGTTTTTTGTCTTGAAAACACGTAGATCAATTTTGATATTTTTTAGTATTAGTAAACTTTTCACCGTCTTTTGGTGTTATTTCAAGTGTTCTTACCATAAAGTAATGTGGGCAAATAAATATTCGCTCATATTTTATTACGGATGATCCAATGACTACCCAATTTTAAAAAAATAATTAATAAAGCTTTTTAAAAAGACAGACAATTGTCTGTTATTAAATTATAATTAATAAGCGGTTTTAACAGGCCATATTTTTTAAGTTAATTTCTATGATAATTTAAAGCCCCCTAAACACTTTAATCTTTGGGTATAAAGTAAATTCACACATGGTAGCCCAAAATAGATTTTGGTTACCTAGTAAATTCTCCAATCTGCAATCGTACGCATAAATACGATTTTTTTTTGCAGTGAGGTCTTGTAGCCGTTCTTAGCATTTAAATTTTGAAAATGAAAACATTTCATAGAACTACTATTTTTTAGTCATTTTTAGGTACAGTTGTATTCATTAAAAAAGCGTACAAGAATTAGAATGAGAGAAAACTGTCAACATTATTGCGTAAAACCGGCTTTCCACTGACTTAAGTCACTATAACTGACAGTAGAAATTAAAAATGCCTCGTCAGTTAAAAAGGCTCAAATAGTATCAAGAATCGAAGAAGAATGGTCAATTCGTACTGTGGTATAATAGAAATAAAAAATCTATATTAAAAATTAAGCAACGCTGGGAACAGGAAGGTTTACTAAACCAAAAAGTTGGTTCAGGTCGTCCCAAAATGTCCACCCCTGAACAGGATGCTGCTTTTTTGAGATATCTGAGGATTTATGGGAAACTATACAACTATACTACTGCTGGGAAGATATTAATCCAAATATTGTATTAAATTTAATTCAGTTCATCCCAAATAGATTGGCTCAAGTAATAGAAAAACAGGGATGCATGACTAAATATTAAATTTTTTTTTAATGTTTGTTTTTTTCATTATTAAAAGGTTGTAATTTTTGTAATATTATTTAATTAACCTACGACGTCAATGCTCTTTATAACCTATAATAATTATTTTAATGACTTATGTCAGTGATAAGCCGGTTTTAGGCAATAATATTATTTTGACAGTTTTCTCTCATTCTAATTCTTGTACGCTTTTTTATTGAATACAACTGTACATAATAAAAGGGTCTCGGAATTTGACGTTAGATCATCTGTCAAACTAATCTTTTCTGATATTAATAACCCCACAATCCTAGATATGTTAATAACGACGGTCTTTGTTAATTTAAGCCCAGTTTTTTTTCAGAATTTTAAGGAGGTTCGGGCACGATATTGGTCGCTATGAGAAAATGTTTAAAAAATTGTAGGTCGTAGTATAGTCTATTTAAAAGACATTTACAAAGTTTTAGAAAGATTTCCGAGTAAAACAATATTAAAGTTGCTAATACTACACGGAATGTTATCATCTCACAACTGTTATGAATGTTGTGAAAATATACAGTGTGGCCCATTTGTTTGTGATTTACCCCTGTAAAATCTTTATTTATTGTGGGATTTTAACCGGATTTGTTTTAAAGTGTAGATCTTGATAAACTTAAATACTTAAAACATAATAATAAATAATTATGAACATTGGCTATTTTTTAAATCAAATGGTAACCATCGCTATTTATGCATTAACTATAATTTCTTCAAGTTTTAAAATTGAATGAGATACCAATTTTGTAAAAAAATTAAAAAAAGCGTTAATTGTCATTGTAGCCAAGCTAATAAAAAACCATAAGTTAGTTTGGGCTACCGTACGTGAATAGACTAGTGTTGCCAATGTCAAATATTAAAATTATACCCGTCATATAAAATTATCCGCAAAGATCCACCTTTTTTGTACATTTATATACCATTTTAGAATGATGCCGATTTAAAATTTTAACCAAAACTACCTAAATATGACGATGACTTTTGGGTCATCTTGTATTACTAACCTGCCACTGTGCAAAAACATCATTATAATTAATATATGCAAGACGTTTGTCAGTTAGCATAACCACTTCCTTTTTGGATATTTCTTGGAAGTAGATAAACACGTCAGTTAACTGATATTTTCCTTTTTCCAACTCAGATAGTAATTTTTGACCCTTTGCGTCTCTATTGTTGTAGGGTTTGACGAGACCGTTTTGTTCAATGAATCTTGGGTAACGCAATCGTTTCACTTCGTCTAGAGAATCAGTAGCCCTAATCAATATTAAAATATTATAGTTTTTTTAGTATTTAAAAAGCATACAATTACCTTTTTACTACATCAAAGGATGTACTTGCAAAATCCACTATACCAGCAGTGGGCCTGGCTACCAAACCAATAGCACCTTTACCCAGTCCTTTAAAGAATCCTTCAACACCCTCTTCTTTTGCGCCTGTTACTGGTTTGGTAAAAACTCCGGTGACACCATCAAATACACCCTTAAATTCAAAATTTAGTTTTTCATTTCATCTGAATGCAGTATATTGTGCTGGACCAAGTCCAAGTACAAATAAACAAGCTGAACTCGTCTTTATATAAATAATAATGCGCACTGCCAATGATTTATCTGTATTTTTTAAGTAAATTGTTAATTATGAATAAAGACCTTTATTATTATTATTATTATGTATTATTATGTATACAAGTTTTTCTTACCATTACTAGGCCCTTTCCACCTCTGGCCAAATGTTCTTGCGCGGATGTGGATTTCTTATTGATTTGTTCACGTCGTTTTCTTTGATAATCTTTGTCAAACGTGAGTGCCGCAAGACCCTTACCCATTGCCCCTGTAATTCTTGAAACAGCCCCGGCGGCGCCACCAACAGTGTGTCCCAGCAAACTGCGCACACCTAGCACAAGACCTTCAGCGAATTCACCTGGACCCTGAAACATACAAAATGTACAATATAAAACCCAAAATGCTTCTTAAAAGTAGCATTATTAATTATACCTATAATTTAAAAGTAAAATTTGAGTGTTTATACCTGAATGGCTCCTTGGAAGGGTTCGTAGAAAAGATCCTCCACGCCCTTGGTAATACCCAGAACAAGTCCATAGGGGTTACCCAAAACATCAAGACCCAAAATAAGCACGTAAAGTTGTTTAATAGATTGTCCAACATAATGAGTTGTTGTTTCACTCACAAGTTTTTTGTGAGTCAAGAAAGTATAGTCTCTTTCAAAGTAGGCCAATCTAAAACACAATAATAATATTATTATTAATAATAAGACTGGTTGACAAAATGAACTTTTTTGTTTGCCAACAACTTTTCCAGGGTAATTTGGGTGTGGATTCCAAAAATAACCGACATCAGGCGCGTGTCAAACGGCCCCGCAGACCCCGCCACGCGGGGAGGCCCCCGGTATATTGGGGGCCCCCAGGCCCTCAATATACTCTAAGAAAAAGTAATACCTATGTATATCAAACAAACTCCAAAAATACAAATATGCACATTTCAAATCCATATTTAATTTGTCACCATTTCTTTCGAACAAAAAAAATGTGAACGCCCAAACAATTGTCAACCCTGGCTGGTCGAAACTTCAGTGATTCCCATATTTAAAATATTAAAATGAGTAGTTCGCGCAAATATCTGAGTGGGGCTCAAAAAAGAAAACTAGTTGAAAAAAGGAGGAGAAGAAGAAGATTGCCAAAATTGATACGTTTTTTCAAAAAAAGTTATATCAACTTCTGAAACGCCGTCAACATCCGCAACCTCATCATCAAAAACAGAAGTGTATGACGATGAAACTATCCTACCAGACATTGAAGGTGCAAATATTCTCGAAAACGAAGATTCAGATTTTGAGACAAGTCTCGAATCAGGTCCAATATTCTCCAGTGACTTAGCGCTTTTTTTAAACACTGAATTAAGTGATGATCTAAAAAAGCAGCTTGTGCATGTTGGTCCGTATAGGCCCGAAAGGCCTATAAGTGGTTTTGCAAAAGACGACTCAAACCGATCATTTAGTGAAGTGTATTATAAGAAAAGGACATCATCTGGACAGTTGTTGGAACGGTAAGTTGAAAATTTTGCTTTAGAATAGAAAACAGAAGATACACTTGCTTGCTTGCTCTATTTCGAGCGTGTTTTAAAGACCTTGTTATCCACTTATACTTTTATATACTGAGTAGGATATCCAGAATCTTAAATAAAAAAATAAAACACTTGTATTGGAAAACAGTGTTTTTTTATTTTGTAGCGTGAAATATAATATACTATATATTATACTATTATATTTTCTTTCAATATTTCACGCTACAAATTAAAAAAACACTGTTTTCCAATACAAGTGTTTTATTTTTTATTTAAGATTCTGGATATCCTACTCAGTGACTTTAAATGGAGTATACTGTCATCCTTGCTGGTTGTTTGCGGATATGAGCAGTACCTCTTTCAACCCTGCTTGGACCACGGAAATGTTGAATGATTGGAAAGGCCTTTCAAAAAAAATTTTGACACACGAGAATGCAAGAGTTCATCTCGATGCATGTTTGGAGTATTCGACGTGGAAAGCTAATAAGACGGTGGATATATGTTTAAATGAAGATATACATAGATTAAAAGCTGCCATGTCTTCTCTGCCTTTCCGAGGTCATCGAGATATTTTTTCTGAAAATAAACTAGAAGCTGACTCCTCAAAAGGCGTTTTTTTAAATATTGTCAAACTTTTAGCCAGATATGACCCAGTTCTTGAGTTGCATATTAATAGAATTAAGAAAGGAACTAGATATTATTTAAGTAATACATCGCAAAATCAATTTATTTCTCTTATTGCTGATTCAATATTGCAATCAATTGTTGAAGATATCAAGGACAGCCCATTTTTTTCAATCATCGTTGATACGACACAGGATATAAGTAGAAAAGATCAACTTAGTCTTGTGTTTAGACATATTAAGCTCAAAGAAAACAAATTTAAGGTTGAAGAATCAGTTCTGGGATTTTACGAAATGACAGGCCAGTGTGCAAAAGATTTTGAAAGTGAAATTTTAAAAGTTCTACAGAAATGAAATTTCCCTAGACAAATGTAGAGGCCAGAGTTATGATGGTGCTGCAAATATGAGCGATAAGAACATTTAAATTATGTTTTTTTGCAGTGAAATACGCAGGTCTGCAAGCTAATCAAACAACGAGAACCAAATGCCGATTATGTCCATTGCACTGCTCATAGCTTAAATCTTATTTTAAATGACTCTGTAAGCAACATTTCCGAAATAATAATTTTTTTGACACAGTTCAGTCTCTCTACGTATTTTTTAGTGAAAGTCTACCTCGTTGGCAAAGCTTTAACTCCGAAATAAAAAGAAGTGAAACTGTTGGTTTAACTTTTAACGTTAAAACGTTTAAAAAAATTATGTCCAACTAGATGGTCGTCAAGATCCGATAGTATAATATCGTTAAAAAATAATTTTTGTCGGTTGTCAAGTGTTTATCAAATTTTACATTAATAGCCAAAAAACGCAGTGATATTACAAAATAAAATAGAAAATTTTGAATTCATTTTCTTGCTATGTTTTCAAGGTACTATTTTGGAAAATATTAATATGCTTTCAAAAAGTTTGCAAAAGAATCACATTGACATAGGGCAGGCAACAGATCTAATATCAGGAGTTCTTGCCAAATTAGAGAGTCTCAGAGAAAATTTTAAAAATGTGTATGAGTTATATATTTCAACTGCGAAATCTTGGAATATTGACCCTCAACTGAAAAGCAAAAGAGTCCGTACAGTCAAAATTTTGAGCCAATTGAAAATAATAAAAATTAAAAGTTACAATTTTTAATGCTTGTTTGGATATAATATTAACTCAGTTTAGAATCAGGTATGAAGCATTTAAAAATATTTATTCGAAATTTGAAATTTTAAACCCACAATCATTGATAAACGCGCAAGAATCTGATATTTTAGCTAATGTCAGAGTATTAATAGAGAAATATCCTAACGACTTAACTCAAAATCTAGGATACAATTACGAAAAGATTAAAAATTTTCATAGCATAAAAAAGTTTTCAGATTTTATATTTGAAAAAAATCAATTACTAATAAGTAGTATACCTGAAATTTGCACTGCGTTCCAGTTGTTTCTAGTACTTCCCGTTACATCGGCTCAACCAGAAAGGACTTTTTCAAAGTTGAAGCTAATAAAAAGCTTTACGAGATCTAGTATGATACAAAATCGCCTTAGCTCATTGGCCATAATCTCAGTAGAAAATGAACGAGCGAAAATGTAGATTTAGACAAAATAGTTGACAAGTTCCTTTCGTTAAGGTAGAAACGTTAGGATATTTTATAAGTAGTTTTTAAAATAATGCATATTTAATTCCAAAATAAAAATAAGTAAGTGATTTATTTCGCTAAAATTTAGGGAATTTTAAATTATTATCTGTAGAAAATGAAACAATTTTAAATCACCTTCAAATCTGTTGAATTTTTATCAGGTAACCAGTCAAAGTTTAAGAATTATAATTAGGTACTTGCTCTGTGTTGGTAATTTGCACGTAATTCTATCGCTTCTTACAATGTTTATTACTAATTTATTCTTACTTTTTGTATTGTATTAAATACCGTCATACATACCAGGAACCATCAGAGGATTAAGGGGGGCTAAGGGGGCTGCAGCCCGGTCCTCCACATCATAGGCGCCTCAAAAACTAGTTATACTATACATACAATTTTGTCATTTTGTACTAATTCTGTATGACTGTGCAAGTAGGATTGTTCCTGCACATGTGTCGCCGGGTCGGGCCTTGTCTGCTGAAACTTACCTTGCTGAAAATTCGGGAACCGCTGCAAGTCGATTGTCTGCCCCACTGTGCAATTCTTCAGTCTTAAGGCCGAAAACCATCAATAGATAATTCAGTAGTCGGCCATGTAACTTGTAGCTTTTTTTAAATGATTATTACCACAGTAGTGCGAAATTTACAACAATTTCTAGTTATAGTGTTGCCCAAGCACGTTTTGTGGTAGAATTGTATTTTGTCTTTTTTTTCTTAATTTCCAGAATTAAGTATTGCAATTATTTATTATTTAAGCAAATGGCAAGCGCAATTATTCTGTTACACTGTTTTACTGTTTAGGCTCATAGAAAACTAATACTTAGTTTCATTTAAAAAATCCAAATTATACAGATTTTATATCATTTTAAATTTTTATTATTTCTTTGAAAAGAAATATTAAAAATTTAAGGAAGGTAGGAACGTAATTGTTGCTTAATAGTTATTTACGTGTCAAGATTAGTAAATGAATCTTCATGGGCGAGCTGAAAGTTTTTAATAATCCTGGATTATTAATCCAGTAAGCCTAGTAAAGATTAATTGCAAAGAGTGAAACGTACAAATTTTTATTTTCACCTTTAGATAACGATTTTTAAATTTAAAATTTCTATTAATGTGTCAAATGTGTCATTTCATTTAATAAATTGCTTTTCTACAAGCCTGTAAAACTTTACAGGTCTTTTATACAAGCCCGTAAAATATGACAGGTCTGTTCTCATCGTTTACTTGGATACAAAAACAACAAAATTAACCTAGAAAATGTGATTTACTAAGGTGGAAATAAAATATGTTTGTATGTAATATGTAACTTATATGAGTATTGAAAGCGCTTGCTGCCAATTTAACTTTCTCTTAACATTTGTTACACTTGCACCCAGGGCGTCCCTATATTTAGAAATTTTCGAATATAACGTGAATTTGCACTGCAAATAACATTCCTTTCCCAGTTACCCGCCAGCTTTTGGTTCGCACATGACGTCACAAGGTGCGAGAGAGATGGCTATAACATGCGCATCAGCATACCGGTTTTTGTGTATCGTGATTCTGTACAGTGTTGCAGTGATTTTTGTATGCGCGAAACGAGATAGAACAGACCTTGTTGTGTGGATTGTGCAAATTACAAAAATAGTAACTACTGATAGTTGTCAATAAAGGGAAATATCAATAAGTATGAATAACTACTAACATTGAGTACTCCTGACTAGTTTAACTAATTTTGGGCCGCTGATTTTAAAAATGTCACTCGTTTTGCCCTAGGATGTTTAGGATTTAAAATAATTTCGTAATAAAATGCTCTGCTCAATCACCTCAAAATGTAAGTTTTTTTGTTATTATTTTAATTATTTATTAAATTATTTTGCCTTAAATTTATCTTACATGTGGTCATTGGTATGTAAGGTCAAATAGATAATATTTAACTTGGCGGTATGACATTTTAAATACTAAAACTAGTATTTTACTGAATTAAAAAGGCAACAAAGTAAAGAAGTTTCAGTATGAAAATAATTGTTGAAGATAATTATTATCTTCGACAATTCCACTCCGTCAATTTAAACCTATTAAAAACTGTCAAAAATACTGTTTGCTGATGGATAAAAAGGAAGGAACCGAAATGCAATTGACCAAAATTGGCGAATGAGAAAGTGACACAAAAATGACTTAATTTGTTTACTTGTAGAATTTTCTCAACAAAACCACTCGAGGTTCGATTGAGCAGGACATTTTTTGAACTTTTAACTCAAACGTTTTTAGGAACTCCTACGACTTAAGTCGAAAATCACCATAAATATAAAATTTGACCCGCGCGGTTGTTTTGAGTGCCATTTTGACAATTTTTATATGATTGTTTTGAACAAAACAGCACTTTGACCTTTGAAAATTGTTAAATTTTTACGGAACGATTTTACGATTTTATTTCGTTAAGAATAAGTTTTTTTAAGGTAATAACTTTATAAATGAGTATAATTTATTTTTTTAAGTTTAATTAGACTTATAGCTTCATGACCAATGTTCCTGGGTTAAAGTATTTGATTTAAAAAAATATATGTACGAATTTGAATGTTTGCATTTCGAAAAAAAGATTTTTTTTTAAATATCTCAACAAAGGCTAATTAAGCAAAATTATGGGTATTTTTAAAATAAGCGCATCCAAATTACCCTATAAAAGTTGTTGGTTACCCTGTTGCAAAATGGCTGTTCACAAGTGTAATAAAATAAAATAATGTTACATTAAACTTACTTGAATACAACATCGTTCATTTCTGTTAGTGTAACTCCTACACCTTGTAGCAATAGGTTGATAAAGTTGTCAGAATTAAGTGACTCTCCACCTTGCAATGAAAAACTCAAGTGAATTTTTAGTGGTGAAAAATGTAGCAAATCATAAAAACTCTTCTGTTCTTGTTGAGATTGTAAAGCAGCGTGAGAGTATAGATCTTCATTTACCAAATTTACGTCGTTTAAGAAATATTGTTTCTGCAAATAAAAAAATATTACCCATTAAAAAATATTGTAAAAAGTATTACCTCTTCTTCTGGAGTTTTCTTTTTGGGTTCAACCAAGTCCATTATGGCTACGAGAAGTCCCATTTCAAATTTGACATGGAACTCTTGTACTAAGACCTTAAAATATTTGTACTGTTTGATTTGACTGTTTTTCATTAATAATTGTACTATACTAATTTCAATGAAAGGTTTAATGCCTAAAAAAAGTTAATTTTAATGTAATTTAATTATATTCTTAATCATTTACTCACAATTATCTACCACAACACTTTTTGGTGGTGGTACAGGAGCTAAAATTACAGGGAAAATGCAATCGAACATTTGATTATCGATCTGAATTCTATTGACTTTAGCGTGCAACTGCATCTGATTAGGGCTGGTCTTTAAGTTCAACCACAGGCCGGTTTGGAAGCTTCTTTTAATCAACCTGTGATTTGGTTTAAAGATCTCAAACTTCTCAAAGTCCACTTGATATTTATCATGAATAAATATTTTGTCTTTTTGACCTGCCCTAAGGTAGTTTTGATAAGCCTGCTCTAATAAATTGCTTTCTTTCTCGGGGTACTGCTTGTATCTCTTATACTTAACCTTGCAGTGCTCCCAAATAATACCCGAACTAGCCACCGCAACATACATCACTTCCTTTCGGGTTAAATTGTTTATTAACGATAAACCTATGCCTTGGATCGATACCGTTATTTCTTTCTGTATTATCTCCATCATGCTGGAGGACTGCGCTTGTTCCGCTACCGATTTGTCGTCGGTAAAAAGTAAAACCCTTTGCATGCCGTCCAAAAATGATACCCAAAACATAGCAACGTCATTTTGGCCGGTGATTTCCCCGATACCGTCTTTTCTAAGATCGTCTTCTATTTCTTTTTTAGAGTTTTTCTCCCAAACCAGTTGTCTGGGTCCAGACGGATTTAACCAGGTATAGTACATGCAGTTTCTTGGTGGTAAAACCCTACATAAACAAGACATTTTTAGTGATTTGAATGTCTTATTATATTTAAATTAGGATAACTATTTAAATTTATGTACTAATATTGAATATCAGGATATAAATAAATGCCCCAAACCTGTCATTTAAACTTATTTGTTGATTTTATAAAATATGAAAATGTTACTAAAAATGTTTTATTATATTATATAATAGGTATTATATAAATTTTTTATTATATAAATATAATTTGTTTTTATAATTATATTTCACAGGCCCTGTGGCACTGGAAATCATTTCAAATTCCTTGACTTTTTTTCCTGAACAAAGAAAACCCTTAAAATTATAGATAAACGGAAGAAATAAAAATAATTAGCCTTCAAAGTAGTGCCCTGTCAGAATTACGATTACGTCAAAAAATAGTATATAATATAAAATATGAAATATTATTTTTGTTAACAATTATTTATAGTTTCGATAATTTACTTGTTAAGATTGTATTACCGATTTCACACGACTTTCAACAAAAAAGTGTCAATAAAGCCGCGTTTTTTTTTTAATTTTAAGTTTAATTTTGAAAACAAACATTTCCTGAAATTTTCCTGACTTTTATGGATACATATATAAAAAAATATCCCTGACTTTATTCGACTTAAAACGGATTTCCTGACTTTTCCAAGTTGTCAAGGATTTCCAAGCAAGAGAGAACCCTGCAGTTTCTTTCCAGCAACTGCAGTGCTTTAATGTATCTAGTTACAAGTGACCAGATACTTTTTATATATCTGCGAGTGTAATATTATTAATAAGTAATGTAATGTAATATTATAAATAAAACGCTATTATACCATTTTTGAATGTGCTCCTTTTCCCAAACCTCAATGTTTTGATCAGTATGGTTGACAATCAAGGCGGGCGCCATACCATCCTCATAGGGCGCTAAATTAACATAAACAGCGCCCTCTGTTAGCTGGACATCCACACTTACGCCCCCAAACTAAAAATTCATAAAATTAACTACAGACATAATAATATAAAGCTTTTTCTTACGTTATTTTTAAGTCTTAGTAACGTGGTATGACTTTCAGTGTACAAGAAATGTTCCGACAACTCGTCGGTGCCGTTTACTCTTATTCTAAGGCACTTGTCCTCCTTCTCGCTTTTTGGCCAAAAAGCGATGCACGATTTTGGTTCCACGGATTTCCATGGATCCGCAGGTCTATCGAATTCTTGACAGTCGATGGCGTAATCGGCACTATTTATTATTACGTAATACGGGGTAAATGTTATTTGCTTAGTAAGACCACTGTAGGTAAGTTGATTATGAACACCAATCTAAAAATGTAAGTTTAAGTTACCTGAAAATTGTTCAAAAAATTTCAAATATTTTGAGTCTAAAGGTTCGACCGTACAAAGGCAGGTACAAGTCGATTAAATTTGTATTTTTTATGATTTTAAAAATTTCAAGATAAAAGTTTTTTTTTAATTTATTTATTGCACCTTAAAAGAATACCAGATTCCATATCAGGTACATGATATAGGTAGGTAATATTAATTATTTATAATAGTTATTTGACTGTACCAAAAAAAGAATTACTTTAATGTAATTTATGGCATAATTTATTACTAAAATTACTAGAATAAAAAAGCCAAAAACTAAAAATTGGTTTCATACCTGGTATTTTCTATCGTTGGCTTCGCAAGTCACCGTACCGGAAGAACCGGCAACATCCAATGAAAATTTGTCAGACCATTTACCTTGATCAACGCAAATTGCGGCTTTCTTTTTTCCAAAGAAATTTTTTGCGTTAAACGAAAACAGAATCGGACCTTTAAAGGATGGTGGATGATGCATGACATTTAATTCGTCATTGTTCTAAAATGCAAATAAAAATAATAAATTTCACGTATTGGTAGCGTTTTAAGCCTGCGCAAAGTTTGTTACAAGCTAAGAAATATAATAAATAAAATTAAATGATCATGCAAAGATATTTACTTTTTTTAAATTATATATAATATTTTTATAGGTCGAAATGGAGATAAACAGGGTGTCCCAAAATTGGCGGGTGAAGGTGAATTGGTTTTAAATTTACAAAACGAATTTTCCTTTACCATCTTTTCGAATTCGCAATTTTTTAAACCATGAAATAAACTTATATCCTACCAGATCCCTCGATCCTACCTTAACTTTTATTAAGATTTATTTAAAGATATATTGTATAAAACTAAAATAATTTAAAAAAGCTATACAAACAAAAGTTCTGATAAGTAGTATTTTGGTTGTAGTTTAAGGGTTAAATAAATGAAATATTGCTTTCTTTATTTTAATTTTTTATAAATATTTATTTATGAAAAAGGATTAAACCCAATTTTCTAATGACGTTTCAAAAATAAATGTTAAAATTTGTTAATAAATTATTATTAATTAATTAATATTAACTTATTATTATTATTAAAGCAATGATTTAGTTTTATATTAATATTGTTAACACAAACTGTCAAGAAAATACATATTTCAAGTCGAAAGTTTCCATGTTAACTTTAGATAAGTATCTGCCAGAGTCTTTTATAAGACTGTGGTAGCTGCAATGCCTTTTTATTTTGTTCGATTCGGAGGGTTTACCCGCCCGGCGCATTCTGAAACTGTATAGTTTTTTATAATTCACGATTAGGTATTTTAAATAATAAAGATACTTCATTATTGTAATATATCACTAGATTTGTTGAGAAATGTAGTTTTCAAAAAGCACCATTATTCGTTAATACAAAATCACCCTTTAATTAAGAAAAGTCCAACTTTTTTGTCGCATTTTTTCCAATACCCAGTGCAACAAGATATTTCAGTCCAAATGGATCCAACGTGAAATGATATTAGCTCAGGTTGTTTTTTATGGCCTCTTGAAGTTCGCATTCTTTGTGGTCAATTCTGTTACTGTTTGCGAGTCAATTATTATAAATAAAACAAGTGAAATTAATTATTGCATCATTAAAAAAACAAAATATGGTAAATCCTGACCAGTGGCAGATCCAAGAGGGGGTCCCGATCCCCCTTTTGGATTGGAAAAAACAAAATTTAACATTAATTTATATTAAGTGATTATTCAAAAAAATATACATATGTAAATATGTAAAATACTTTCCTACTATAGGGTGTTAAAATTTATTTTTTGAAAAATTAATTTGAATAATTTAAGATTTAGAAATCTAATCATTTTCAGAAACACGTTTCTAGCTAATTTCATTCTTTACATTTCTGACTTGTTCGGTGGTCCAAAAAAATTAAAAGCCATTTTTTTCGCAAACAATGCATTTTATCGACTTTAAAGAAGAGTTATTCTTTCTCCTACCTTTTTGAGAATTTTAAACCAATCTATTTATATCTGTTGCTGTTTTGGACGAATTGTAATATAAAAAATAGTTGTAAATAAGAAATCAAATGGTAATTGTTTTGAAAAAGCATGTTTAGATACAGCGCCATCAAAAACCTCCGTATAACAAATTTTATAACAATTTTGCATTTGGAAAGCATTTAAAAAATAAACAGTGAAAAAAATAATTTTCAATACCCTGTAAGAAAGAATTTTATATTAACTTTATTTTCAAATATCGTAAGGAAATGTGTTCTGAACTGAAGTTCTGTATATGTCAGGATCACCGGCAGTATTTTAGATAATAAAATAGATTCAATTTTATCCAGTAGATTCTGAGAAAACGAAAAGAATTGAAAACGTGAAAATTTCACATTTTACAGGAACATTTTTTGGGTGCTTTTTGTAAACTGCATTTCCTAACGAATACAGTGGTATTCAATTAAGTTTTTATTATTACTTAAAGGGGCTTATGTATTATGGAAAACTACCATATACCAGCGCCGGGGTAGACCCTTAAGATGTGTGGTATTCAGCGTACTTGTTCTCAACACAGCGTTACAGCTTTTTTTAATTAAATGTTTCATAAGTTATTAACTACTCATCTAAAAAAAAATATAATCAATAATATAATTATATATTTCCCCCCTCGCGTGGTATGGTGCACCCTGTATCTAACATGCTCTGAAGAAATGTTTCTTGTTGTGTTTTGATTGTTTTTAATGCTCTTTGAAGAGATCTTTAAATCGCGAATACAAAACTTTTTTATTTAGTTTAGTTTCAATGTAGCGAGAAAAATAGTGAGTAGGTGCTCGATTCTTCCGCTCGAACTTTATAATCTTAATTCGCAATTTATTAAATTCTGGAAAAAGTAAAATTTTCCGGTAATATTCTAGATAATAAATAAATTCCGCACCCAACAGATATCATGCAAACCTAGAAATTAAATTAAAATAAACAGAACATAAATAAAATAAAAATGTTGAAAAAAGCCCATGGTATATACACAGCTAAACAATTTGTACCTTTGTAGGGCTCGTTGTCGTATCATTTTTAATGGCTTTTTTGGATTTCTGAAATAAATATAATTTTGAAATACAACTAGTTAGGAAAACATTTTTAAATGGATCTTCTTCAAACATACCACATATCCAAGCATAAGCCCAGTTTTGTTCAGCATCCAGAACGGGCAATATAGTTGAATTCTTTGTGATCCGTTTATATTGGTGGAGTACACACCCAAGTCTAAAACGACTTTTCTTTCGCTATCGAAACTACAAAACGACCACACTGCAAATTCTTGGTAGTTATCGGTCAGCTCGGACCTGCACACCCACTCTTTCTCCAAATAACTTGGCAGCTAAAACAAAATTTTTGGAAACTGCAGATTTTAAGTTTAATAGTATGAATTACCCTGACGATTATCGCAGTTTTTCCAGGCAACGCGTAGCGTAAATTGAATGTGTCGCCCGGTTTTATAGTAAATTCTTCGGATCTTTGTTCGATACCAAGAATAATGTCTATTGGTAAAGAATTCATGATAGTTATTACAGGCCTTAAATGAATGTTATAGCATGTGCTCGCCATTGTATGCCTTGTAGTGCGTTCGTAATAAACCTAAAGAAGCAATAAAAAATAAAAGAATTTTAAACATGTTTACTTTGACTTACTTGTTCCATTTCTCCTATGGCTTTAATAACATAGGGCTCTGTACCGACCTCCTCCGCTCTAGGCGCGCATTGCAACAACTTTGTAACTGTCAGATTGGTCTGCAACTCTTTCCACACATAAGGAGTACTGGACACAGCAAAGTCTTTCACCGCGAAGAACAATTCGTTTGTTTGGGTATAAACAGCATTAAGAGGCACGTTGTAATGCGCATTGGGTTTTACGGTGGACAGCATTTTTAATTCATTGCCCTTGTCTGTCATATAGTAGACTTCAATTGGGTTTGTAAAGTGATTATAGATCTGAAATATTTTTAGATTTAATTTTAATTTGACTAGTAAAGACTGGATAATCACCATTTTTGTATATTTTTTAAATTTAAATGTATACAGGGTGATTGTTAATTAAATGCTATTAATGAATGATATAAACTTTTTTCTTTAAAATTATTCAAGGATTGAGTTCTTGGATGATTTTAAGGAAAAAAGTTCATATCAGCTTAGATCCGAAACCGCTTTATTTTAGGGATAAAAAACCTCAAATTTGAATTACAACTATCTAACTCTATATCTTCAAAATAAAGCAGTTGCGGACTTAAGTTAAGTTATTTCTTTAAAATCATCCAATGATTGAGCCTAATCAGTATTAGCATCTATTTAAGAAATAAACTGTGTAGAGACAATTTAATGGATTTTTAAATCAATTATTTGGTCAATTTAGTTCTTTTGCCATTAAAGTTATTTACCTAATGTTTTTTCAGTTTTAAAAAATCAATATATTTAAAGTAGTGGTGCATAGATCCGAATTTTTTACGGATCGGGGTTTCTTGAAAAAAACGTATCCGGATATAACCGTATCCGGATTTAAATATAGGAACCGGATTTTGATCTAGGGTTCTATGATTCGGATCACGGATCCAGATCTGGGCTTCGGAGCCCGGATCTCAGATCTGGATCCGATATCCGGATCTCAGATCTGGATCCGATATCCGGATCATAATAATGTATAAGTTGTATAATTGGTAGCACAAACAAAATTAATTTCTTACCAAGCAGTTATTGCTTATTGCTTATCAATACAAAACAAATACATTTTAAAGGACGCTGACAAAACATTCTTATTTTCTTATAAAAATTCTAATGTCTATATTTTCCAAAGAAAGGCAACTATGGAGAAAATAGAATTAACTAATAAATGATAATATTAATATTAATTATAGGGTTGAGAAAGAAACTCTTTCAAGCATGCTTGCAGTTGTATACTCGGATTACAGGAAACAAAAAAAACATGTGATTTTGGTATTGTGCATGTCTAAATGTTCGGTGGACATAAACCTTATAATAATCATAAATCTTTTACAATTTTAGCCAAAAGGTTAAGAGCGATCTTCCACTTTGCCAGAACGTTTATAGAGAAACTCCTGGTTATCCAGTTATTAACATTGTTATCAGTAATAACTTATCAAGCTAAAACCAGTAAAAAATGTTAGCAGTTAACGACTCAAAACCGTGTGACGTTTGTAGGTGGACAGCACGGTTCATATTGGTGTAGTCTGAGGGTGTGACTAGGATTGTGTTTACATTTAGTTTGCGTTAAATAAAACTCATCATTAATAGTATTAAGTTCAAATTTTGAAATTGTATTTAATACTAAATATTAGAGATGGGAAAATTCCCATTTGACGAAAATTCCCGGAAACTTTCCATCGAAAATTCCCGAAATTTTCCGAAAGTTTAAAAAAAAAAAATTTTTATTGCGAAATTTTTTTTTTTTATGCCAGGGATTTGCAAAAATATATACCACATTAACTTTTTGTCGAATTTTATTAAGAAAAAAAATTAAAAAAATGTTTATAAGAATGTAACTGCAATACTATTTTTAGTATTTTTTACTTTGGAATATTCCTATTGTATACTGAAACCTACAAAATAAAAATAAAATGTTTACTATTAGAAATTCACTGCTAATAAATCCTAGATATTACGTAAAAAAATTAAAATGGACAAAGTAACTAATATATATATATATATATATAGGAATATTGAAAAGTAAAAGATACTAAAAATAGTATTGCAGTTCTGACTGATAAAATTTTTGTTTTTTTGCACTATTTTGTAATAATTCCAAACACTAGATTTTTCTCTTGGCATTGTGCTATGCCTATAAATAAACAACAAAAATGTAAGAATGATTTTAACTTTGTTTATAGTTTTTATTTTGTTTGCCTTTTTTTAAAAAAGTTTTTTGTGATGATGCTGAATAATCCGGCTTCATTGGGGTTATGTAACATAACTTACATTATTTATACTTCTTCTGCTTTAAATTAACACACATTAAATTCTTATTCAAAGTTTCTTGGCCTTGTATCATGGCCTTAACGAAAATCAGCGGTTAAACAATTGACATTTAAATGAAAAAAACAAGGAAAGTTTCCGGTAGCTTAAAAGAAACTTTCAAAATGAAAATAAATTCCCAATTGGAAACTTTCCAAAACGGAAAGTTTCCTTAAAATGGAAACTTTCCGATTCCCATCCCTACTAAATATGTAATGTGCATATAGAGATGTCCCTCCATAAACAAGTTCACATTGTTTCTTGGGATGAATAAAGTATTTTATTATTATTATTATTAATACACTTTAGTTCCTTTACTTTTTTTTAATCTGGATTTGTTTAAAAAACAAGGTGTTTTATATTATCTTTAAAAATGAAAATGTTAAGGTGTTTTGAGTTGTTTATAATTTACCAGTGCGTACAAGACGCTGTTTTTAAAGATTTTAAAAAATTATTTTATAGAACATTTTTTGTTAAGTAAAAGTGGTTTTTAATGTTTTTTATCCGATTTTGGTTTTGTTAACGCCAATTTATTATATGGTGAACAGTGAGGCCAGATAGGAAAATATGTGTTAAATTTAACACATATTTTCCATTAATGGTATTAAAAATTTTAAAAATATTCCTCTAAAACTATTGACTTTTCAATGTTGTCAGGTTTATAACAAGGTATATACCACTTACGGGGTACTTTTTATTTGAACAAAATTTCCCTGACTGTAAACAATTGTAAATGGATGAATCAGCTATAGTTTCCTGACATTCCCTGATAAAATATTATCCCCGATATTTCCCGGTTTTATAGGTTTTTCAGAAAATGACCACGATGGTAGTTGAGTTGGTCTGTAGAAGTTATATATCCTATAATGACGAGAAAGCGCATTCGGGTTTTGTTCTTCAATCCAGCCACAACAAATATATTTTTTGAAATTTTAAAAGTCATTTAACCCCTTAGTGAATAGGTAGTATTGTATAGCATAACTTACCGTAAGAATGCTGCGCAATGTAACAACAGTTACACCTCTATCTATGATGACTTCCGATATTATTCCCCAGTTATCGTTTGTACCATTGCGGTAGTTCAGCATAAAAAAGCGTTTTTCTGCTCTTAAAACAGGGAGGGAAAGTTCGGAGTTCATATTGTTCACGTACAAATTGAGAATGTAATCTTCAGGTGTCATATCTTCTTCATAGTACTGCGTCAACTTGATTTCGGTAAAAGATGGCTGAGATTGCGCAATATGCAAATACACAGTAGCAGCATTCTCCAATATAACAGCACTTAAATTTTCCGTTTCGTTTAAAGATTCGCTGTACAACTGGAACGGCCCTTTCTCCAACAGTAACGTCAAAGCCAAACCGGTTTCGTTCACAATTTTAAACGGAGCGTCAGCTTCAATAACGTCTTGCTTAGTTTCGCTTTCTTCGGGCTTTATGGCGTTGGAGAAGGCTTCTCCCAAGGTGGAGAGAACATTCAAACAGGTCTTTGTGACGCAAAGTTCCAGGCTGGATGCGGATTTTATGTCAATATTTATTACGGAGTTCGTTTTTTCTGTTTGTTGGACGTCTTCGCTGCTTGTTGCGCTTAAAATGTCTTCTTGTTCGCTCATGGACATTTCAAATTTTAACTCCCATGGAATGTATTTTGGGGGTACCATCATCAAGGATGTTAGTTATAGGTTCAACTAAAGGTTCCCATAGAGCCAAATTGCTGTTGTAGTATCCCACTTCAAGAGTCATAGCACATTCAACTGATAACTACAAAAATTATTACATTTGTATTTGGATTACCTAAAAAAGTCAACTATTTGCTGATTATTTCCAAGTTAGAATTGGGTCAGAAGTACTGACTCAATTTGAACCCAGTTAACATGTACTGCATCCAAGGCAGGGTTGGCATGTTTAAAACAAAATATTTTAAACAAACGTTTTATACAGTTTTAAAGTGCTTAAAAACAAAGAATAAAAGGTTTCAAACTGTCAACATTGCATTTACTAAAAAATATTTATTGTTGGTTTGGTATATTTGCACATGTTTTAAACTTGTTTTTAATAACAATTAAAAATACCTAAAAACCATTTTAAACATAAAAAAGTTTTAAACAAAAAAGTTTTTTTCAAGAAAACATGTTTTCTGCCAACCCTGATTTTAAGGCTATTTATTTTTCAAACCATTAAACAGCTCTTCTTCAAAATCGGCATTTTGGACTTGCTCTACTCTGGTTCTGAGGTACAGAATTGTTATTTGTTATATTTAAAATAAAACTGCAATTGCCCAAGCCAAAAGGCCAGATGTTGAAGGAAAGTAATTGCGTTCGAAAAAATGCAACTTTTCGCAAGCTTATAGAAAAAATATTTAACGTTTTGTAATGAAATACTACTTTGTAATGTGGAGATCTTAATCTTTATATTAAGGAACAAAACTATATATCAATTGAAAGAATAATTTCAAACTCAAACAAAATAGTTTTTTAGGGCCTGAATTTTTATGTAAAACTATTTTTAGTTTAGTTTAGTTAATAAAATGTTGAGTTTGAAAGACCCTAACTGGGGTTTTAAAAATTTCGGAAAAATTGTTTTTTTCGAAAAAAAATAATGCAAATAAATGCAAAACATTTTTCAGAAAATTTACAAATACAAATATCCGTACACTGATATCGAGAAAAAAATGAATTTCCGACGTTGATTATAATCATATAATATAATGATGAATATAATAATTATTCCTTTTATTTTAAATCAGCTGATACTAGTATGATTTTTTTTCTACCGGGCCGCAAAAAGAACATATTCGGTGCTGTATAAACACAACTTTTGTTTTATTTGATACTTTGATTTATAAAATTATAATTTTGTAAATTAATTTTAATTCATTATTTTGGTGATTGAATATTATCAGTGTTTATTTTTGCAAAAAATACCCAACCGACAGTATATTTAACGTTTACTTTTATTTTCTTAAATCAAATTAACTTAATTCAATTCAATTTAGGTTTTTTTCTGTAATAAAGTATATATTTTTTTAAATTAAAATAATTCAAGATTTAAAATATGTACATTTTTCAAAAAAAAATCAATTTTTCCCAAAAAAGACAATTTTTCCAGGGCCTGGAGAAAAAATGGAAAAACAGGTTTTTTCCCCAATTTTCCCCAACCAAGAGAAAGTATTTTTTACATGGGTTTTGTAGGTCAAAAATAAAATAAATATTTTATTCAAACTTTTAAGGATATAAAAGAACATACACATTCAAAAAAAAAAATTCAAATTTTTAAAAATCTTCCGTTGGGAACTGGTTCTTAATGACCCCTGTATTGGGGCAGGCAGGATAAATCATTTACACGAAATTTAAAACGAAATATTTTCTGTTAGCAGGTGAGTATAGCTTGTGACTAAACAAGGGATTTAACCAAATATTAAAATTTTAATTTTTGGCAGAGTTGTATGCAAAAAGTACATCTTTTGGCATAATTTAGCATCTATAAAAAGTGTGCAAATTTAATAGATCGGTGCATTCGTTTTTGAGAAATCGTACCTACCGACTTCAGAAATGGAGTTTTGAGATTAAATGCGAGTTTCTAAAGGCTCAATCACCTAGAGTTTTACTCCAATTGACTTAAAACTTTAAGAAAATATTCTATTAAATAAAAAAAAATTTAAAAATATTTTTTTTAAACCTTGAAACCCATGTAACCCGAGGGGTCACCCACACCTGGGAATCCCTGGACATTTTAGAGGGGGAATACCATAGGAATACATAGGAATACAATAAAATATAATGGGAATACATGGAAATCCCTGGACGTTTTCCCTTTGGGTGGTTGACCCCCTTAAGTAAGATATTTGATATATTTTGAGGACTTATTCACAAATAAGCATCCAATAATATGCCAATAGCACAATGTTAAAATATCTATATTTTAAGGGACACTTTTTTGTTTTTGTACCTGTGAGCTCCAATTTCTAGCTTTACCGCGTAGACTGGTTTCCAACAATATCATTGGTAAAGTCTTGGTACCAACACCAGCCTCTAGAGTGAAAGAAATTGATGTAACAGTTATAATACAAACTTCTTCTAGTACTGCACTGGACTCAGTCATCACTATTTCTTCTGAAGCTTCCGATGCTGCATCTAAAATTTCAAAGAAAAAAATTATTTTTATTCATTAATTTCAATTTATGTCTATTATACCTGGTTTTAAAAACCAATGGTCATTTTCATTGTAGGTTTTCTCATCCCACAAATTTGTTAAAGCATAACTATGTTCTTGTTCAATGTCAGTATCAGTTGTTTTAGATGTGGCAGTGTTTATAACCATTGATAATAGTTGTATGATTGCAGGAGAGACGCTTAGTTGAACAGCAGTTACAATTAACTAAAATAATTTAATAATATATTTATTAGTAAATAATATAGTAATATTTTTACTTCTAAATGTAATCCTTTATTTTCTGGTGTGGAACCTGCCAAGCTTATTGTCAAAGGATGAAGTATGTTTTTCTTAGATTTTAAACGTTTTTCGGGATTATAATTGCATGTGTAAACAGACAAATCGTTAATTGCGCCCGATATAACCTGGTGTTTGCCCATAAGGCGGACTTTAAAATTACACTCACTCTAAAAATTAAACAAAACTAAAAATACAAAACATTCAGTAATACATTATTTCTTACGTTCAAAATAATTGCTTGTGTATCAATACTATCCATATTTTCTACTAAAATAATATCAGGTTTTTCAAGCTTAAAATTAATAGTAAGTTGGCTATCGATTGTTGTTTGTGTGCCACTTTTGATTTTTCCTATACTTTCGATTTTAGGTGGTAAATTTTTAGAACTTGTTATCATTGGTTGATCAGCTGGTACTGCCTCTGGGGGTTTAAAGAACTCCGCCAATTGCATGATATAGTCAATGGATAGAATCATCGTTATGCTAAAGATTTTCAAGTCAACTAAAAATATGCGTTAAAAATATGTATTCATATAAAATAAAACCACCTACCAAACATATCGTTACCCTTCTTTTGAAAAGTAAAATCGATCATACTCTTCGAACACGGATTTTGTAGCGATGTTTCGCTGGCCAAAGGATCCATCGATCTTTCGATCAGTCTGTTTAATTTTCCTTCTCGGCCTGGACGGATATCGGTTACCTGGCAGTCGACCAGAAGTACGCTGGCAACGATGCTTTGGTCGGTTAAAATTCTGCCTTTCATCGAAAGTCCCTTCAAACTGAAATTTCCTAGACCACTGCAAATGGAAGAATCGCTCCCTGACTGAAAGTAAGTAGTTAATATAAAAATTTCGATATTTCCTAATAATTATTTAAAACAATGCATATTTTAAATGTTTTAAACATCAATATAACATATTGTAGTGAGGTGGTTGAAACGTTTTTTACTTTTTGGTTATTTAGTGGGTCACGAATGGGGTTTTAAAATTTCCGAAAAAATTGGGCCGGCGAATAAAAACGATATCTTCCGGAGAAAAAACGGAAAAATTGACTTTTGCATTTATTTTATTTTATTCAAAGGGTAATACGAAAAAAATGCAAAAGTCAATTTATCTAAAAATTTACAAATTTTAACGCATAATGTCCATACACTGATATCGAGAAAAAGGCGAATTTCCGAGTCTGATTATAATCACAATATTATGATTATAATAATTATTCGGAATTAAATATAATAATTTATTAACACATTGACATTGACACATTGATTATTATAAAATAATAATTTTGTAATTTAACTTAATTATAATAAATTATTCATTATTTTGTAAATGTATATTTTCAATAAATTCACTTTTGCAAATGGACCCACCTGAGAGTATATTTATCTACTCCTACATTGACGAGTTGTGACTTTATGGAATTTTAGTTAGCTTTATTATAAATTGCGAAAAAGTGAGGTTAAATTTGTTAAATGTCAAATTTTATGAAATAAAATTGTCTTTAAATTCTTATTTCTGTTCGTCGTAGATAAAGTATAGTATGCAACTTGTTTTATAAACTTCTCTAGACACTCGAATTTATTAAACACTCGCTCGCAAGCTTCGCTCGTGCCTAATAAAACTACAAACTGAAGAAATGCTTACTTTTGGTTGGGTGCTGGACAAATTAATATTAAATGTATCCATAGTAAAGCCAAATTTCAAAAAAATGTGTACTTTCTGCTCAGGTTCTTTAACTTCCAAAGTAGATTCAGAGATCTGTTTGGACTCTTCTTCTTTGACATCCACGTGAGCAGCAGGTATTTGAGTGCCTTCAGCCAAGTTACCGCTTAAAATGCTCATTGCCAAGTCATAGTCCAAATCGTTAAGGTTCACCTAAAAGTAAATAAATTTTAGAAACGGTCCACAGAAATATTATAAACATTGTTTAGGATTTGTTTGTATAAATAGTGTCGAATAGAGTGAGTCAAATATCCGCTTTTTTCTTTGAGGCGAAAAACATTATGTGCTAAGGGGTTTATTAGCAAATTTAATTGTCTACAAATAACATCCTTTATAATTATAGTTTCAGAGATAATTGCGATTTTAGTTATAAAAATGGAAATTTAAACATAAAGTAGCAATTATCTAAATTATCTCTGATACCACAATATTTATGCGATAATTTATAAGGGCCTTTTTTGTATGAGTATAGTATAGCTGGCCACATCAGCATCGTCATACACTGGTCTCCCAGAGGTATTATTCCCCCTTTCGGTTCTCTTAAGTATCCCGCAACTGCACAGCATTGAAACAAAGTTTCAACCCGGCTGGTAAATTACCCTTGGGAGATTGTGGACGACAGTGTCGATGTTTAAGACCCTTCCCGAAATTTTGTCGCCGGGCCGGGCTATACGCCCGATTTTCTTGCCTAGTAGAGTTCAGGATTTTGGTTTTCGGGGGACGATGGACTGACCAAAAACTAAGTACAATCTGGAATCCCCCTAGACCAGGGATTTAGTAACACCCACATTCAATTGGGGTTCATAAATGGGACTTTGTTGGTTAATACGCTGTGTGGGTCTATCCTGCTCCTTGAGGTACTTCTTGTTTGTCTGCGTCCGTGTCAATGGTTAAATTATGGTAAATATTTAGTAACCGCTTTAAAATTGTTCATTGTTGCCGTCCACAACGAGCCACTCGCAGTGCCCCCCTGCCTTCATGGAAAATACAACTCCCATTCCAAGTACTGACTTCAGAGAAAATTTAGCATGTTGCCAGTCGTTTTGGTTGCTGAAGATAGGTAACGATGCACCCCACTTATCAACCCCACTATGAAGTCGTCTAGAATGACATCTTTATGGAGGAGACCACTTCAGTTGGTTACCTAATTTATAGGCCCCTAATTTATGGGTGACTTGTACTCTACCGATGTTTATATCTTTTAGTCCGGTCAAATTAGACAAAAAAATAACAGTGAAGGTACAGTTGTATTCAATAAAAAAGCGTACAAGAATTAGAATGAGAGAAAACTGTCAAAATAATATTATTGCTTAAAACCGGCTTATCACTGACATAAGTCATTAAAATAATTATTATAGGTTATAAAGAGCATTGACGTCGTAGGTTAATTAAATATTATTACAAAAATTATTACCTTTTAATAATGAAAAAAACAAACATTAAAAAAAAATTAATATTTAGTCATGCATCCCTGTTTTTCTATTACTTAAGCCAATCTATTTGGGATGAACTGAATTAAATTTAATACAATATTTGGATTAATATCTTTCCAACAGTATAGTAGGTATAGTATAGTTGTATAGTTTCCCATAAATCCTCAAAATATCTCAAAAAAGCAGCATCCTGTTCAGGGGTGGACATTTTGGGACGACCTGAACCAACTTTTTGGTTTAGTAAATCTTCCTGTTCCCAGCGTTGCTTAATTTTTAATACAGATTTTTTATTTCTATTATACCACAGTACGAATTGACCATTCTTCTTCGATTCTTGAGCCTTTTTAACTGACGAGGCATTTTTATTTTCTACTGTCAGTTATAGTGACTTAAGTCAGTGGAAAGCCGGTTTTACGCAATAATGTTGACAGTTTTCTCTCATTCTAATTCTTGTACGCTTTTTTAATGAATACAACTGTACATAAATTTACAACAGGCTGAAAATCAGTAAAATTGTTCAGAATATAATTATAAATAAAATTTAAAAGTTCCCCATCATTCCCCTGTATGGAAAAAATTTTATTCAAGGTCAAAGGTCAAAAAAATTAGTTTTTCGCGATTTTCAGCAAAACGGTAGGTTTAATCATAAAAATACCTCCGACAAAAATTGTAGATCATAAAATTATCTATAAAAAATGTATCGATACTTGTTTTCCTACGAGCCACCGTTTCTGAGATATAACGATTCGAAAAGTTGTAAAAGTTGTAATCGTTATAATATACATGATTACGTCACGTATATACATCTCTAGAGTTGTAATATGTATATGTTAAAATATTTTTCTATCTGTCATTTTGACTTACACTTAAAATATAAAATATACCTACATAAGTTATAACTATAAGAATATCAAGTGAAATTTATACCCTTAAGGGACTGGGTATAATAGTATATTAAAGTACAAGTTGCAGAAGGCCACATATTCTCGCACGAATTCGAAATTTGGCCTCGAGCGACGAAGGAGCGAGTGGACGAACGAATGAGTGCGAGAATAGCCTTCTGCAACGTGTGATTTATACTATTTTCTCGATTTTAACTTTTATTTAGGTTTTTTTAATTGTTTTGTGGTCGTTGTTAGTTAGGGGATTTTTCTCGCAAAATGTCAGTTGGCAACACAAAATGACAATATTTGTTATCCTGCACAAGTACAACCTGAACTGCACTTTTACACATTAAACTTAAAATTTTGCATTAAAATGCATTGTTGGAGCAAACTTTATATTACAAAACAATAATAAAGGCTTCATTTTCAATAAAAGTAATGAATTTGAGGTTATTAATCAGTTTGACATTTTGGGGGTACCAATACTTAAAAACTAAATGTTACCAAAAATCGTTTAAGAATGAGCTTCATTCTTCAACGATTTTGCGTGCGAGAATATGACATTCTTACATAAAAATCGAGAAATTAATTTATTATATTTATATTATTAAGACAACATCTGTGACAGATGACAGATGATTTGTCTCATGTTCAATTGTGTGACCTGCTATAGTTGGTGCTCGCTGCGGGTGGGAATCGCGCCGCGAACGCTCCAGAGGATGAATTTTATATTCCTCTCGTCTTCTGTCATCTTATCAGTGGCGGCTGGTGGATTTTAAGTATACCAATATCTCAGTTATTAGACATGGGACCCACACCAAATTTATAATAGTTTATATTGACATTAAATAAACAAGTTCGGCGCAAACAGAATTTAAATTGAAGTTTGCGAAAAAAAGTTAGTTTTTCCTGTCGCCTACCCTGCCTCCAGGCCCCCCTATTTGAGATAATTCAAATTAAAGTGGTGCAATTTATTATCTACTATAATTTATCGACAAATTTAAAATTTTATTTAAAAAATTCAAATATTACAGTTTTTATACCATTTTAAATATTTTTTTATTTTAATAAAATAAATAATAAAAATTTAAAATCGAATAAAATCTGTAATATTTGGATTTTTTTAATAAAATTTTAAATTTGTCGATAAATTATAGTAGATAATAAATTGCACCACTTTAATTTGAATTATCTCAAATAGGGGGGCCTGGAGGCAGGGTAGGCGACAGGAAAAACTAACTTTTTTTCGCAAACTTCAATTTAAATTCTGTTTGCGCCGAACTTGTTTATTTAATGTCAATATAAACTATTATAAATTTGGTGTGGGTCCCATGTCTAATAACTGAGATATTGGTATACTTAAACTCCACCAGCCGCCACTGCATCTTATATGTGTTAACTGTCAATTGTAATCTGTCTAAAGTCATTAGTCACCTTGACATCTGTCACCTATCATCTGTCACCTGTCATCTGTCACCTGTCTTCTGTCACCTGTCATTTGTCCCAGTCATATGCCACCTGTCATTTGCCACCTTATCGATTAGATTTCGGGGATTTTAATTGGTTAAATTTTTTAAATACTCAACAAAAATTAAACGGGCTTCTGGCCGATTAGTTTTCATTCGATGAAGCTCATCTTTTAGTATGTCAAACTTTGGTCTTTTACCCGTCGATTCGTGTATTTCGTTCGGCCAATTTCTAAAATTTCTCTAGCCCTAAATAACGTTTAAAAATTTTTCGAAAAAAATAAAAAATTTCGCTGTTCGAAAAGTTTCCGGCGGATCCGGCCCGTTTGCAATATTTATTTTTTGCGTTGTCTGTTAGTCTGTATATCCTTTTTTTCTAATTTGTATCCTTTTTTCTGCCCACGAGACCTATCCGCGTACCAAATTTTTCCGGTGTTGAAAAGGCTTAAGTCCACTTTTTTTCGATTTTTTCGTCAATTTTGGCACGTTCCGTTGTCTTCGCTTAACTTTCGAACGAGCGGAGATTTTTCGGCCAAACACCAGGAGAAGGTGCTTCGGGACAAGAAGTTATCACCAACGGCATTCAATTTCTTCTTTCTATATACGGAGCTCCTAAAAAAAACTACCTGCTTTGATAAGTATCGATATGCATGTTTCTTTAAAAATACTAAAACTAAAAAACAAGTGCAATTAGCTTGTCTTCCTCCAACCTCAGTTGCTGCTCATCAACATCTTTTTCGGGTATATTACCAAGTTCAAGTGTGGCTTGGTTATCAGCTAGACCCTACATACTGGGGTTGGAAGTTGGTCAACAACCCATTAGAACCAGTTCAAACTTTACTCCCACCTGCGCCGGAAAAACTGCTGAACACAATTTTTTGCAACTGCAAAAGGGATGCAGTGCTAAATGTGGTTGCAAAAAAGTCGGACTGTTTTATTCTCTTGTATGTACGAATTTTCAAGGCCGGTCGTGCTCTAATGTTGAATCACCAACAGTGGAGGATTCATTTAATTCCAACGAGGTGACATGCGATACATCGCTACTGACGCAATTTACTTGTACCCAGGATGAAGATGAAGAAGAATAAGAACAAGAACAAGAATTAGAAGAAGAATTTAAATGTTACGAATCAGACGAATTAACTTCCGTACTTTTTTTAAATTTACATCGCTTTTATTTTTTCCAATCATTGCTAATTTCCGTTATTTTGCAATAGTTTCAAATTAAACAGGATCACAACTGACCCGTGAAATAGGCCTACTGGGGAAACCACGTTAAAAAACGCGCTAAGTACACTACCTCATAGATGGCGTGGAAACGTGTGCATATTATGACGATTATAACTTTTACAACTTTTCGAATCGTTATATCTCAGAAACGGTGGCTCGTAGGAAAAAAAGTATCGATACATTTTTTATAGATAATTTTATGATCTACAATTTTTGTCTGAGGTATTTTTATGATTAAACCTACCGTTTTGCTGAAAATCGCGAAAAACTAATTTTTTTGACCTTTGACCTTGAATAAAATTTTTTCCATACAGGGGAATTATGGGGAACTTTAAAATTTTATTTATAATTATATTCTGAACAATTTTACTGATTTTCAGCTTGTTGTAAATTTATGTAACTTCGAATGTCTAGATTGACCGGACTATTTAGGACGGGTTTATTTTCTATTTATGTTTATGACATGCTTTTTGTCTGCACTTGACTAATAAGTCAAACAGTCAGGTTTAATTATTTTTTTTTAAGATTAATATTTTTGCTTTTACAAAATTAATTTAGAAAAAAGCGGATATTTGACCTCTAGTGTACATGTAGTCATCACAAAATTATAAGGAGTCACTACTAGTGACTTGGGTAGTTTGAATTATTAATTTTTTATTGCCAAGTTTTTATGAAATGCTTTTTGTCTGCACTTGACTAATGAGTCAAAAGTCATGTTTAATTATTTTTTCACCTTAAAGATTAAAATTTTTGGTATTACAAAATTAATTTTGAAAAAAGCGGATATTTGACCTGCAGTGTAGATGTTTGTTGTCACAAAATTATAAGGAGTCACTCCTAGTGACTTGGGTAGTTTCAATTATTATAACACCCTGTATGCAGGATAATCTGTATAAATTAATATTTTTCTACTTACATCTATAGTTTTTATGTGCACAGTAATGTTAATATCTGGAATAGTGGTATGCCAGGCAGTAGATAGATTTCTTTTAATCCAAACCGTGGTAGTTAGGGGCTTTAAAACTGTATTCTCAACCACATTCTCGAACCTAGTACCCAGAGTAACCGTGGATATCTTAAGTTCGCTGAGTTGCGCACTAAGCTCGTCAACGACTGCGTTGTGGCCTTTATCGTTTTTATCGTCCAACGTAATAAACCTGTTGGACAGATGTAATTTTCCTAAATCTATGTATAACGCTTCCATACTTGAAGAGTTTACAGGTACAATAATAATGGGAGCTTTAATGGAGACATTAAGTTCGATTTTAACAGCTTTTTCGTAAGCGTTTTTCATGTTTTCTTTCGCCGTATCGGCTGCTGCCTTCGAAGCATCTATAATAGATTGCTGTGCGGCTTGGAAGTTGTTTAAAAATCCCTTTAAAAAAGAACACATATTAAATTATAAAGGTTTTTTGCTTTTAAGTTTTTGAACTTACAAGCATGTTTGAAACAAATCGGTTTAAAAAAACAATACGAATAGCTCCTAGATTGCACTTTACAATCATGTTGGAAGCGTCATCTCCCATAACGTCCATGTTATTCATTACCAAATCAACCCTGAGTGTTTCGTCCGATATGGAATTTAAAATCTAAAAAATAATAAAATTAATAATCAATGAGACCGGATTATATGCAAATGCATGTTTGCATGTATGGACCTTAGAACCAAAGATAACTTTTTTTTAATATTGGGGTACAATGTATTCTAACAAATAGAAAAAAGAATATTATATTCTAAAAATTGGACTTCATATCATTTCGCTTTAAGGTCCAGATATGCATTTCCATATTTTGTCGATTTCTACGAATTTTAGCATATTTAACTAATAATCTGTAATAGAGCATATTTTCGCTATTTTTACGGTACATTCGAGGGTACTATCCTCACACATCAAAGTCCTACCCCTTGAATTTTATAGAAATAATAATAATAATAATTTTCTGACAGTGTCAAGCTAATTTCGTCCTATTTCCTGAAAATAATGCAATTTATGTATTTTTTGTGTATATAGGTCTTCATTTAGAACACAAAAAAATACATATATTGTATAATTTTTAGAAAATAAGACGAAATTAGCTTGACACTGACAGAAATGTAACCCATAAACCAAAATGATGTAACCTTAATTATTTATATCAAAGTCACCTGGTGGGACTTTAGTGGCATCCATTAATTACGTGAGGTGTTTAAGGGGGGGAGGGGGTCGAGCCAAACCTCACCCAATTTTACATGGAGGGGAGGGTGGTCTCGGCAAATATCACGTAATTTTTTTTCCCGAAAGAATCAGTGTAAAATTGCGAGAAAACTGGGTTAAATTACGTAAAAAATGTTTCTTCGCTAAAATAGGATTAAATTATACATAATAATATTAATTGGTGTTTAATTATGCACTGAAAAATATATTAACCATTAATAAATTCATATATTTGGAAACAATTCATTCATTTATTAAATATTAATAAGTGGTAATTTGATAGTAAAAAAATATAAAATAAAATTTTTCTTTTATTTTATTATTATCAATATTAAACAAATTTTTTTTGTTTTTTCATTAACCATCTGTAAATGTGGATTCAAATAGACAATTATTCCCTTTGTGGCTCCATTCTAACACGATACTTTGAAAGAAAAAAAAGAAAAAGCTGAATTCAATTAATTCAACTAAAATGATGAATTTTTCGCGACTTATCGTGTTTTCAGTTAATTATAAACAACAAAGAAATTACGGAACCCGAGAAAATTGCTGATGAAACAAATAAATATTTTATAGGAATAGTAAAAAACATCATTAAACCATCAAAAAACAAAGAGTGTACACTAAAACATAATTCAAATCAATCATTATACCTACAATATACTACGAAAGAGGAAATATTATCAATAATAAAAAAATTAAAAACAAATGCTAGTCCTGGACATGACCAAATAAAAGCCATAACGGTAAAAAAGCTTTCAAAAGTGCTTGTGCCTACACTAACAAAGTTAATCAACCAGCATCTCAAACTAGGAACATTTCCAGATATCCTAAAGATTGCTCGTGTGACCCCTATCTACAAAAAAGGAAGTAAAACCAACTTAGCAAACTACAGGCCTATATCTGTGCTTTCAGTATTCTCTAAAATTTTTGAAATGGTCCTACACAAAAGACTCATAAACTTTTTGAATGAAATCAACTTCTTAAGTTATCAACAAAATGGTTTTCAAGAAAAAAAAAGCACACAAACTGCGATAATAAACCTAACCGAAAATATCTATAAGAATTTAGAACATAGAAAAACAATCCTAGCTGTATTTCTTGACCTATGTAAAGCTTTTGATGTGGTTGATCCTGAAATTCTGTTAAAGAAGCTTGAGAAAATTGGAGTTATAAATAGAGCCTTTAAAATATTAACTAATTACTTCCACAACCGGTTCCAATACACCAACATTGATAATAAAAATAGCAAGATGGAAAAAATTCTGTATGGAGTTCCACAAGGGTCAGTGTTAGGACCTCTACTGTTCCTAATATACGTCAATGACATAACTAAATGTGACATAAAAGGTGAATCAGTCCTATTTGCGGATGACACCGGACTTTTCTATTCCGGAAGTGAGGAGGAAGTGTTTGGTTGGGCCCAAAATGACCTAAATGTCATAAATGTGTGGACTAAAAAAAACAATATTAAACTCAATGAAACTAAGTGCAACTATCTAGTCATAAAAAATAGAAGAAACTGTGATAACTATTCGCTAAAATTAAATAATCAAATTTTGGATAGAGTGAATAGTGCAAAATATTTAGGTTTAATTATTGATGACAATCTTAGTTTTAGTAACCACGTTCAAAGTCTTAAAGATAAAATTTGTAATCTAGGCTACTATCTTAGAAGAAATGCTTATTTAATCAACAACAAAACAAAATATTTAATATACAATGCCTACATTAATTCCCACCTAACATATCTTCCAGCCTTTTGGGGGCATGCAGCAAAGAAGGACCTAAAGACTTTGCAAATAACTCAGAACAGACTTCTAAAACTTTTATTTAACAAACCTTATCGAACCAGTACTACAGATCTATATAATGAATTGAATATATTAAACATTAATGAGGAGATAATGTTGGACAGTGTTAAAGTAGTGTACAAAATCAAAAAAAACCTGATAAATACAACAATTAACTTAACTAAAAACTGTGACAAACACACATATAATACTAGAACAAACGAAAACTACCACATAGATCCAAACACCACCAAATTTGGAGAAAGGAGAATAACGCAATCTGCCCTGAAGTGGTTCAACATACTCCCTGAGACAACCAAAAACCAAAGAACAATAGAAGCCTTCTCTACATCAGTTAAAAACTACTATATATCTTTAAGATAACACTGTGATAATTAAAAGTACCTGAATGTTAAATTATGTTAAATTATATTAGTCTTATACTGTATTTGTTATATATATATATATATTTTATTTATGTTTTCTATACATAGCACCTGTTATGGAATCTTGTATTCTTTTTGGGTTATTAATAAATTAAAAAAAAAAATACATTTTTCGGCTGCTTGACCGGAATTTATTTTTTGTTTATGTGATATTTTTCCCTAATTATTATACTAAAATCAATTTTTAGAGATACTAAAATGATCTTCAAATGGCATACACTGAGAAACATTTTTATTTAATAGTAATAAAATTGTATTACTATTTAATAAAACGTTAATAAAAATGTATTAAATACTTATAAAATTTTATTAAATACTAATACAATTTTATTAAATACTAAAACAATTTTATTAAATACTAATAAAATTTGCCAAATACGAAAATTGAGGGATTAAAGGATAACAGAAACTTTTTAAAAAAACCTCACGTGAGATTAAAGACCCGCTCCCCGGTCGAGCAAAATCTCACGACATCTCACCAAGGGGAGGGGGGTCGAAAAATCGCCAAAATTGCCTCACGTAATTAACGTGATGTGTGGGGCATGGTATATTTTTAGTAGATAACAACGGTTGTTTTAGGAACGTACAGCATTGCATGCAAAAAAATAATTTTGTATAAGATAAAAACACTTGCACTACTAAGTGGGCAAAGTCTTTGCCCTATGTTCCCCAACATCAACCCTGGTTTTGAACCTTTATGTTAATTTTATTTTTATTAATATTTATATTAGATAATATGGATCACCCAATTTCAAGTTTTGCCCAGTAAGCATGTATAATTGAGGCGCATCTTACAAAAACAGCCATAGTCTAAAAATGTCTTGCTATTTATTTTAAAACAATCAGCCTAAAAACTAGTCAAGGTAGACTTGTGCTGTTTTAACCTAATGATTTGTCCATATGGTTTGGCATACAAATTTTTATTTTCAATGTCATACATTATTTTGCTAAATTAACAATTACTGTCTCAAAATAATAATTTAAAATATAAGTAAACGTAAATAACAATTTGGACTTTGTTTTTGTAAGAAGCGCCTCAATTAATAAACATATTTAAACAGATGGGAGGCACAACCAGCCAATTGGGAAAATTATATTATTATAAACACTCACAAAAAAAACTATTAAGTACTATATTGTTGCATATTTTTATATTTAAGCAATTTTCAAGCATACTTCAGCCATTTTATGATGATCGGTTTCTAAAAATTAAAAAACAAAATAAAATGCTTACCAAATTATGTTTAGTATCTCTATTCAAATCAATAACAGCAAGTTCTTGTAACTTTGCCTTCACCTGAGTGTAGCTAGTCTTTACAATAATTTCAGCATCGATTCCTCTTAAAGAACAAGATGAAATTTCGCTTAAATCGGTCGCAAAAATAACAGTCAATTCATTTAACTTCGCCAATAATTTGAACTTAATAGTTTGTACCACAGTTTTCTTTCTAATTTTTTTCGAAATTGCACTTGGAACCAAATTGGTAGCGGACAGAGATCTTGAAGTAGTAAATGCAACTCTGTCAGCAGGTTTTTTATTTTCCTCCATAATGGATTGAAGGTCATGCGCAAAAGCCATTAGAGATAGCAAACCTTCTTGATGCAATGTTATTGCTAGGATACCAAAGTCAAAGATTAAAGTTTGCTCACAAGATTTATAGGTAGAATGGAATTCAGGTGATTTAATGTCCGCCTAAAATGTATTTAATTAATAAAAAAAATATTTTTTCATTGAATTTCTTACTTGGACAAATGTGACATTAAATAGAGCGCTGCTTTCGCTGCTTGCAGCTATTTTATTCGTCACAATATCTATTACAGAATTATTTCTTTTTTGTTGCAAACTAATACTGTTCAGCTGTAAAGTAACTGTAGTATCAAAGGTTCTTTGAGTAAAACCTGCTTGAAGAGATTGCAGTCTTAAAACTGCTAATTCGGTTATGGGAGACGTTAAAGTTTCTTGTTGATTCACAGTTAAAGAAAGCTCTAAAAATTAAAGTTTAGATTATGTCGGTCTAAAAGTTTTATTTAAAAATACCTGATATTTCAAAACTTGCCAGAAGCATTGTTTGTTGTACAACTTCCGTTCCACTTTGAGTTTTCTCTTGAACAATTTTGTTAGCAGGATTAATTTCACTTATGGTATTCTTCAGATTAATAGAGCTCTTACTACTGAAAGATCTCTAAAATTATAAAGAAAAATTAAGCATAAAAAAGTTAATAAAAAAATAAACTTTACAATCATTTCCTTTGTAGGTTCATCAGTATTAGGCAATGGTATGCTGGCAACTAAGGCCATAACTAGAAGGATCCTAGAATCAGACACCTTAACGTCGATAGAAGGCAGTTTCCCTGAGAACTTGTATAATGGCATCCTAGGATCATCAGTAATAAGCGACTTTGATAGCGTTATATTTAAACTAACTGGATGTAGCATATGCATCTGACTTATTCTGGAATCAAGAATACATTGTTTCCAATTTTCATCGCTTTGAGCGACAAGAACTTGGACGTCAGCCAATTCAAGTCTAAATTCATCATAGGCATTTTCGGTAATTTTTTTAATGATATCGGTTTGGGTGCTTCCCATAGAGTGCATTTGTTTAACGTCAAAATTTGACATTTCCCTTGGTACTGAGTACATTTTAATGTTACCCAAGTTTATTACCAAAACGTTTTCGTCGCCGGTAAATTTACCATTATACGGTATTATAATGTATGGAGCCTTAAAGTCCAAATTCAAGTCCACTTGGATTTGTTGCTGGATGGCGTACTGAAGTCCAGTAGCGGTTTTTTGACTCATGTCATTAATTTTTGCACCAGCAGCCGCTGCAACTCTAAAACAGGTATTTAAATAAAAAGCCTAAAAATATTTTCAAAACTTACTCGTCAATTGTTGAATTTTTGGGTACCGCAAAAATACTCGCTATACTTATGATAGTTTGGGCATCATAGACAACTCTAAGAGGTTGTGCAATCAAGATAATGCGTTTATCATAATTAGAGTTTAAAGGATTTTGCTCAAAACTAAACTCTAAAAGCCCAGTTTCTTGTATGTCCGATGATATAAGTTCAGGAATATAGTTCTCATCTTGTGGTATACCATATGTAGTAAAGTTGTCTATTTTCACTCCAAGCCTTGAAAAAAAACATTTTTAAACGCAATTTACGTAAAATTGCTTTGGAAAATCGTTATTAAAAAAATGTTTCACTATAAAGTTAATCAGATTATCTTTATCCTAAAACTTTTTTTTAAATTTTACGGTTTACCCTGAATAAAATACCGATTTTTCAAGGATTAACTATTTTACATAAATTGCGTTATGAAAAAACTGAATTATTAATTGTAGGTCTCTTACTTAAGACCATTTCCTGAAGGTCTAGTTTCCAACTTAGTCTTAACACCTGTTAATTCCGTGTGTAAAACTTTGGTCAATGCAGCTTGACTGTCGTCAAACAACGTTACTTCTAAGCTTCTTAATACAAAAACTAATGAATGTTGTATATATTCTTTTGGGAAACTAGTTGGAACAGCATTTTCTTGATAACCAATTGCTTTGTACATTTTTTCTTTTTCCTCAGGTGTCATGGCTTCTTTAACCATTTTCACTAAAAAAATAATAATTGGTTTATAGGCAAGGACTATGTCCTTAAAAACAAGAAAGCTAAGATAAGTTGGCGACAAGTCTTAATTTGCGCTAAAAAGTAAACAAAAAGGTTTAATTTGGAAAAATGGTTTAATCTAAACATTTTCAAATAATTAGTTGCCAAAATGTTAATATCCAGCGATAGTTGTTTTAAGTAACTTACTAATAACCCCTCTATGACCGTCATTTTCAGGGGACTTTACATTGTAACCCATCGCCCATGCGATCCAATTTTTAATGTTTTCGGCTGGCAAAAATTAAATTTAAACGAAAAAAGGATGAACAATGATAAAATAATTTAAAGGTAAAAATAACTTACTTAAGTCATTCTTTGGTTCAGTGTCAGTGCTGCCACCACCCCACATCCAACCTAACCAACTAGATTTTTTCTTTGTCTTGCCAAACCGCTCGTGCTCCATTTCGGTTTGGTTTCGTATTATAACAATATTAGTTACGTCCAGCGATTTTTCGTAGTTCTCCAAAGCTTTTATTTCGGCTGAGGTTGCTTTATTTTGTAACTTTTTCAAATATACCTCCTTGTACTGCTTGCAAGATTCCCTATGTGTTTTAATATGCATCCAATCCCAATTATTTCTCTTCCTTTTAACTTCCGTCTCCAAGACGCAAGTGTACGCAAATTTCCACCACTCTTTAGAGTGCCCTTTGTAGCTATCCACTTTCGGTCTGTACTTTCTGTAGGGTACTCCCCTGGACATCAAGTTCATAGAATCGACTAATGCAATAATGTCAAAGTACTGGGATTTGCTCACTCCGACAAACAACTTGGGCATGTCAAAATTTAGTTGGACACTGGGTTCGCAGTAAGGAGGGTTGTCTAATTCGGGTTTCTGGTTGATTTTGATACGGGCTAGTGCGTTAATGGGTCCCAAAACTAAAAAAAAGTATTTACATTTTTTTTAAATAATTTTGTTTTGCTGAAAAATATCGTTTTTATAAAAATATATTCTGTTATTATTTAAGCCTAAATTTCCTTTTAGGCCGTTTATTAGATACTTGAAAGTTGGCGTATTATTAACGAAAATAATAGAAGAGATTCATCTATTGAAAAATTAAAAATAAACGACAAATCTGTACAAAATCCAACCGAAATATGCAATATTTTTAATACTTACTTTACAAATATTCAAATGAATAAGCACAATAATCCTCTAGATGCTAATAATTTTAAAGACAGCAATAATTTCACCAACGCTGTAAACCAATCCCTATTCTTATATCCAACTACCCCCAAAGAAATAAATGCAATAATTAGAAAAGTATGTAAAAAAACTCCAGCGGTATAGATGAAATTCCAGGCAAGCTGCTACAAGAGGTGAGCGAAATAATATCCGAAGTCCTTTCATTTTTAATCAACCAATCATTTACACAGGGCAAATTTCCGGATACTCTTAAAAAATTTAAAATTATTCCTATTTACAAAAATAAAGGACCTAAAGATGATCCAAACAACTACCGCCCAATAGCACTACAAAGTAATATTTCAAAAATATTTGAATACGCTTTTCTTACCAGACTATACTCATACCTTGAAAAATTTAAAATTCTCGCCAATTCACAACACGGATTTCGAAAAAATAAAAGTACACTCACAGCTTTAAATGACGGTCTTGCTTACATAACTGAGAGCCTAAATAATATGCAAAAAATTATTGGTGTCTTCTTTGATCTGAGTAAGGCCTTCGATCTAGTGCCTCATTCACTTTTACTACATAAATTATATAAAGCCGGGTCTACAATTGTCGCAGGACGCAGATCGCAGTACATAAGCTTGCGCAAAGCACCCAGCTGACAAAAGAACCTTGCTCTATCGCCACGTCGCAGGGTGCTTTGCGCAAGCTTATGTTCTGCGATCGGACCCCTGCGACAATTGTAGACCCGGCATAACATGGGCGTACGTGGCACAGCAAACAACTGGCTGAAATCTTTTTTATCACATAGACAACAAAAAGTGGTTATAGGACGAAATGAATCTAAACTATTAACAACACAACTGGGAACCCCTCAAGGGGCAATACTATCCCCAATCCTATTCCTATGTTTCATTAATGACATAACAAATTATTGCAATTCCATTGGTGGGACCGTGATATATGCAGATGACACAAACATGATTATATCCCATCCTAATCTAAATTCTTTGCAAACCCTTACCCAAAATACCATTGGGGAAATGGTGAACTGGTGCAAAGACAACGGTTTGCAACTAAATGTTTCCAAAACATGTTTTATTCAGTTCTGCACAAAAAACACTCCAGTTAAAAAAAGTTTATTGCTTAAAATTGATGGTAAATCGATTTGTCAAGAAACATCCACCAAATTCTTAGGCATTTTCGTTGATCATAAACTAACATGGACTACCCACATTGAATATATAACAAAAAAATTAAGCAGTGTATGTTTTCTATTTAGACAACTAAAAAACACAGTTTCAACTAATGTGCTCATTTTAATGTACTATGGGCTTTTCCAGTCGGTTTTGTATTATAAAAATCTTATTTATGTCTGTCGATGTACCCCAGTGAATTATTCCGTAAGAGGCCACCGCGGTGGCCTCTTACGGAATAATTCACTGGGGTACATCGACAGACATAAATAAGATTTTTATAATACAAAAGAAAATAGTACGAATAATAGAAGGATGCGATAGACGGACGAGCTGTAAATCTTTGTTTAAAAAATTTAAACTGCTAACTTTACCTGGTCTATACATCTTTAAGGTTATTTCAACAACCAAAGAAAACATTCTTCATCAAACCAAAGTCAATAATATACACTCCCATAATACCAGACAGAAAGACAACATCTATATGAGTACCTTAGATGCAAAACTCGGTTTTTGCAAATTTAAAAAAAAAAAAAAAATTGGCTTTAAATTCTGTTTGGTGTTCGTCCTAGATAAATGGCGTTTATAAAACTTGATACATAATAATATATATAATATAATATTATTATGTATCAAGTTTTATGAACGCCATTTATCTAGGACGAACACTAAACAGAATTTAAAGCCAATTTTATTTTATTTTTTAATTTGCAAAAACCGAGTTTTGCATCTAAGGTACTCATATATAGTATACTCCCTATAATAGACTAAAAATCGGTCAAAAGGGACACAAAAACAAGGGTACCTATCCAATATTTTAACAAGCTACCCTCAGAAATTAAAAATATTATTAATTTTAATAGGTTTAAAAATAAATTAAAAATCCTACTAACAGAAGCTGTACCTTATTCAATCAGTCTGAATGACCTTTTCACATAGCACCTCTTATTTTTGTTTATGTTCGGCTATTTATTTTGTGACGTATCTTATAATATGCATGTCTTATTATTAAGCACCTGTACTATTGTATAGATAAATAAAGCATTATTATTATTATTATTATTATTATATCTACTGTTAATAAATAATGGATAAATGAAGCAACTTTGGATACAGGCAATTTGGGATATTTTCTGTAAACCATAACTATAGTTATATATAAAAGGTATTTTGAGAAGTTTTATTTTTCACAAGATTTGTGTACGCCTTTAACTTTTTTACTTTTTTATACCATACATAATATGTGACGCGCTCTGAGAAAACGAACCTTAAAGGTTAAAAAAATGATTTTCGAGATTTTTAGAAAAAGTCCAATAATAATTTGTCAAGCATTAAGTACTACTCAAACGCCTATGCTGCACAAACTTCAATCGCCCCTCCTGTAAAATTTTATTTGTGGACCTAGGCTTCGTTTTCTCGGAAAACGTCACATACATATACAGGGTGTCCTGAAATTAGTGCACCATACTTTAACAGCAGATTCTACGTGCAAAAATAAGAAAAAAAGTCCCTATAAACATAGGTCATGGGTTAGATTGATAGGAAGTGGGGTTAAAACCACCTTAACTTTTTTGTACGCCTCTTGTACCAGAATTTGATGTAAGATTATGAAATTTTCGGGGTTTTAGACATAAAAAAGGTCGCCCTGTTGAACTTCAGTAACTTACACGGTTTTCGCTTAAAATCGATTTGAAAATTATTTTACATGGCATAAAAAATCACAATTAAATCACAACCATAGACATGGACTCGCGTGGTCCTTGGAATACGGCTGCCATGTTTAAAAAAAATAGAATAATTCCAAACAGGTGACAGTTTCATGTAGTAAGTGACAGGGTTTTTCTACTTTTTTTAAATATTAGATAAAAACCATATTCAGGGGCACCCTTTTCGGGGGCTGTAGCTCCCTTAGGAGGCATTTCTCGACCTATATTTATAGGGACTTTTTTCTTATTTTTGCACGTAGAATCTGCTGTTAAAGTATGGTGCACTAATTTCGGAACACCCTGTATATATAGCATCAAACACAGGACCAAACGTACCATCCGTGAAGCCATTAAAATAGAAAAACGTCCAAGAAACCTCAACACAAGAAACGATACACAGAGACTACCAACAGCATAAAAACCAAGTTATCCATGAAAAAACATTGAAATAAAATTAATTGATAGTAGCATGTTACTATAAGTTTAATTTTATTTTAATGTTTTTTTCATGGATAACTTGACAAATAAAATTTTTGTGGTTATTATCAGTTATCTCTGGTTATTATTGTGCATTTTTTTTTCTTAAAATTTTTCAGTAAAATTTGGTATAGGGTCGTTTTGAGGGGTGGTGAATCCAGTGCTGTGCTTAGATTTAGTTAAAAAAAATCGCCAATAGGAATTCTTAAAAATTTTCTCTTAAAACCTGACATAGTAGGCCTTGTATTTTGTAGAAATATGGCGTTTTTTGCTTCAAAAATACAGTTTATCAAGATCTACACTTTAAAACACCCATTGGTTTGCGACTCATATATACATATACATTTACATTTATATACAGGATGTCCCAGAATTTCTGGCCATCTCCCGGATTTAGATAGAAGACATAAAAATAATATGACAAGTTCCTATACATTTTTTATCCTACGGCCCCACCTACGGAGATACTGGCCCATAACGGACGCCCCTGGAATGAATAAAAAAGATCGGAAATTTCAAAACCGTTCGTTTTTAACTGACACTGACATCATTATTTAAACCGGTAAATGTAAAAAAACATTGCAAAAAAGATAAAAATGAATGTATTATACAAAAACATTTTTTTTTGTACACAGTACCTACATTTTATCAATGTCGATCAAGAGTTCCTTTTTTTTAGTTTATGGTTTAAGCTGACTAAAATTATTATTGTTATGCCTTTATAGCACAGGGTGTTACTCTGTTAGAGCTAGTCCGTCCCTGGCAAACTAAATAAGCCGAATGTGATTAAAAGTGGTCATTTTAAGGAAACTTTCCCAGTAAACAATATAATAATAAATTATTAAATTCCACCTAGTAGTTCAAAAGTTATTTAAAAACAAACGATTTCCAGGGGTGTCCGTAGAGGGGGCCATAGGAAAAAAATATATTGTATAGGAACTTGTCATATTATTTTTATGTGTTCTATTTGAATCCGGGAGATTGCGCACATATTCTGGGACACTCTGTATATATTATAATCTATAATTTAGTAGACAAATTTTAAAAATAACATGACTTAAGATGGGTCACTAAAACCATCAGCATGTTGATTACAAACCCCAAAAAGGGTATCATGCAAACTGTGGTGGACATCTGCATACAGCAAACACAGTTGAAGCTGTGCAGTTGTTGGGTGCGGAAAAACCCGAAAGGTGGGTTGCACTTGCGAGACCCGAAAGATACGATGCTGATGGGGGCAGCTATACGCTCCTTATGTTTATGTTCAATGGGCAAAAAAGCAAAATCGAAAAATAATAATGTAACCTACTAATGACATTAATTACACGTTTTATATTAAATATAAATTATACATTTATTTAGCAAAAATTTTAGGGCACTTTAGGTCACTTTTATTTTTAACATAGGGCAATAAATTAGTGCCGATTTAAGGAAATTGTTGGAATAATTTACCTTATACATAAACAAATTATACCGTTGTTTTGTACATACCTAATTACTAGGGCATACAATCCCGGACAAAATGAGGATTTCTTAAATCCCGGGATTTTCGGGATTTTTTTTAAATCACAAAAAACATTTTTTTTTTTAATAATTTATTATTACTAAATACTTAAAACTCTTTTTATATAAACAATTGGGAAAATGAAGGAAAAATATAAACAACAGTTAAGTAATATTAATCTCTTATTTAATTACATACAACTTACAGTACTGTAAGATGTATGTAATTAAATAAGTGATAAATTTTACTTTCCGATTTTTTTTAAATACCCTTGTACGCCTTCGCACCTAATTAACATTTAGTGTAAATTTTATTTACAAGCATTTAAATTTTTATATATCACAATTTAAAAATAAACGAAAAATTGATAAAAAAATAGGCACTTTATTTTATAGGGCACTTTGAGGGCACCCTGAAATAAATAGGGCACATTAGGGACTTTAGGGCACTCGCTGTGAACCCTGCATTTAGCTAATTTTATTTACTTTTTAAATTTGAAACTAATAATAAAATCTTGCTACTTAAATATGTATAAAGATAAAATAATTATTTACATTTGTAACTATTTGTTTTTTTAGTATAAAATGCACAAATGTTTGAACTAAAAATACGTAATTTTTTAGAACATATATTTTTTATATAAGTAAATATTTGTATTTAAAAATAGGTTTAGAGCAAAATTAATCATATTCATTTATTCATATTAGTCTATAATTAAATTAATTTATTGTACAGTTAAAAAATAATACAAATTTGGGCTAATATAAAAACTATACCAATTAGACATCAATAATCATGTTTATAAGTGTATTCCTATGTTGTATTTCTGCTAATTAATAAATGGTAACATTTGGGTATCCACGGGGGGGTTTGGGTACGGACCCCGCCCTTGGGAATAAAAAAACATAATTCGACTTATATTGTTATATTTTTGTGTTTTTTGGAGCATTGACTACTTGGCTGATTTTTTATCCTGGCCCGGGGTTTGAACCTGGGACCTTGTAAGGCTGAAAGTTTACCCACTGAGCTACCCTAGTGGGTTATATTGTTATTATTAACTAAATAATATTAAGTACAGACATTTTTGTGGATCCCTCTCTTATAATTTTGGATCCGCCCATGATTGATTATACAATAATGGTTTATAAACTATTTTGTTAAATTAAAACAATTCACTATAGCATAGAATTTTAATTTTAGGTCTGTTAAAGGTGTGTTAAATTTTTTTTATGACAAAAAAATCATTCTGTGTAATTTGGTTATTTAAGTTCAAGGAACAAATTTATAAAAATAAAAATAAACAAAAAATCATTATTTTTAAATTAAATTAATAAATTACCTATAAAGTTAATTTTTTAAATTATGAAATAAAAATATGCCACAACATAGTAATCATTGCTAAATTTGGATGTTTATATATTTATAACTCAGATAATTTATAAAATACTTATCTTTTTTCACTTTTTGTTTTAACCTTGACTTTTAAACCTTCTTTAGCAACATTCATAGTATTAGATGGTTAAAAAAAAAATGTTTTACGTTCGTGATCCATTAAGAGTTTATGGGGATCACAAAAGATATTGATTAGAAATTTTAATCGCACTTATAATCCGAATAGAATATTTGCTAAAAAAAATTGAACAAAATTTAACTTTCGGTTATACATTTTTAAATTCTACATAAAATTCTGAGAAAAATGAAAGATTACATGGTAACCATGTTTGTATAAACTCACAGGATTGTTAAGGGGTCATCCATTAATTATGTGAGGCAATTTTGGTGATTTTTTGACTCCCCCCTCCCCTTGGTGAGATGTCGTGAGATTTTGCTCGACCCCCTCCCCCCTTAATCTCACGTGAGATTTTTTAAAATGCATGATGCAAGTTAATCTGTGATTGATCCCATTAGATTTATAAAAAAACAATTTGCTTATAATTGTTTACTTAATTTAACCCAGTTTTCTCGCAATTTTACACTGTTTCATTCGAAAAGAAAAAATTACGCAATATTTGCCGAGACCCCTCACGTGAGATTGGGTGAGGTTTGTCTCGACCACCTCCCTCCCCTAAACACCTCACGTAATTAATGGATGCCCCCTAATACAACAAAATTATGAAAATATTAAAAATTGTTAAATATCTTTGAAATTTTATTTACTTTAGCCTAAAGTCTTTGGGTATAGAAAATAGTGAAATCAAAATGTTTTTTAATTTTCTATTTTATTATTTATAAACATTTAAAATAAAGTTAGCCTAATTATATCTTTAAAAAAATGCGTTGAGATTCCAAAAATCCAACCCAATCAGCTAACCACATAACAAAAAAGTAGGATATTTTCGAGGATATTTTTTATTGATGCGCATTTGGAAAATTGGCAACTATTGACTAGGTATAACATCCCGGGATGGTATGACCATTTTCTTCAGAATTTTATGTAGAATTAAAACATGTAAAAATATACGGGGTGTGCCATATGGGAAACTTCGGATAAGACTGGATATAGATGTTATTAAAATTTCAAATCGACATCTTCTGCGGTTCCCCGTAAACTTCTAATGGACCAATCTTTCATTCATGACAAATATTTAATATTATGTTACAACGTGTTATTGGTATTTTATGTAAGAATAATATATACCAAACCTTTTATCTAGATTTATTTAGTTGTATAATGGTTATTAATAACTTATTACATTTAGGTACTGGAAGTTTTCAAATAAATACTTTGATGAACCCTGCTTTAGGTAGGTATACCTACATTTTTATACAATATAACAAAAAGAAAAAAAAATCTTTTTTTTATATTGTATAAAAATCTAAATTGATTTTTTATACCATTTTGATAAAATACATTAACCAAAAATTAAAATATGCAGATTATGGATTACAAAATTATGAAACCTGTTGCCCTGGTTAAAAAAGAAATTGTATAATTAAAAAATGGACATACACATTTAAAATACTTTATGATATGAAAAAACCTATAATAACTACATATTATTTTTTTTTAAATACATGCATTTTGAAAAAGCAACTGAAATACTATAAACAGTATTTCTGTATACTGTATACTGAATATATTGAAATGGTTATATTATCACAAACATTTTTGATTGGTGTAATTTTCATATTAAGCAAAATAAATAGTTTAAAAATAATTTTTAGGAAGTAAAACATATTAATTGGCCATATTACAAGTATGCAGTAAAGGATGTGGTTAACGAAAATATAATAATTATGAAATTAAGTTTTATAAAATAATATAGGAACTCACCAAATTTATTTTTGGTAACATTATTCTTGGACTCAATTTCTGTGGGTAACTTTTTACACAATTCATCCACCGTCATGCCTCCATAAGAAGTGGTATTAGTGTTCCAGTAAATTGAAAGAGCTTCAAGTTCCAAAACCTACAAATTATAATTAAATAATAAAACACAAGAAATAGTTTGAATTAAACCAAAATATACTTTAAATATTTTTGTAATGTCTCCTTGTGATATGCAATGTTTCCAATTTTCATCAGTAGAAACTACTTCTAGCTGTTTTAAAGTCACCCCAATAGCAAAGGGGTTTTCTGGACGAGTGATTTTGTCTTCATATCTTATGTGGATGTTTTTGATAGATAAATGTATATTTTTTACAATTTGAATTGAAAGTTTCTCAATAAAAGAATAGTCAGTTTTAAGTTTGTCTACAAATAAATAATTTAAAATTAAATTAAAGTAGGTAATAATTTTATGATGGTTTTACCTTTTTCTTGCTCTGCCTTTTTGGCATTTTCAATATTTATTAACTGAGTAAGTTTAAGCTCTATTTCCTTTTTTCCTTCCTTAATAGGGTCATAATTAACTTGCAAATTTGGTTGAGCAAGTAAATAAATGTCTTCCAAGGTTATTAAAAACTCTGCCCCATATAAATTTGTCCAGGGTATTTTCAAAGCCAGTTTACCTGAACAAATATTTAAATGCAATTTGGAAGTAACATATTAATATTTTACCTATTTTTCCAAAGACAGTTTGGACAGGCAAATCCAAAGCATCCAATACGCTCTGTTTTAAGATGAGATCTTTGAATTCCACGTTTCCTAAAATGATTTTAGTTAAAGGTCTCGACTTAAGACACAAACATTTTTTTTAACTTACCTCCCCATATTCCAATATTTAGCTGGTTTGTGTCCAAATTTTCCACAAAGGGTCCCAAATATTTGTTTAGGAAGTATGTTAACACACTTTCAAACACCATTGTTAATTATTTATATAGATAAAAAAGGTGTATCTTTAGTAAATAGGAAGTGGGAGGGTTCCATACACTTCTACTGCAATAACTAATAAAATTCTATTATGGGTGATGACATCAATGTAAGAATATTCTAACATTTATGTTGTTATAACCAATAATAAGTGATGTGACCCTACGCACTTTGTTGACTGATCAATTAAATTTCTCTGTAGCAGTGGAAAAATTTAATTAGGCATGTTTGAATATATTTTAATTGCCGAATTTGTAAAATCTTTATATTTTGACATTAGTGACACCCAAAAAAGATTACATGCAGGGGTGTTCCTGAAACTTTGCAAATTGTGCAGCCATCTAGCGTGAAATTGTACTAACTAAGATCAAATTGTACTAACTTATCTCAAAAATTCAAAACTTGTCCAAATTTAATTAATATCAGATTTCTGCCCAGAATCACCCTTGCATACGTAAAATTATAATAAATTATTAGCGCTTTGGTTTTTCTTATGAAAAATCTACAAACTAAGTTTAGTTGTGTAATTATTTTGAAAGTTCAGAAGATAATTAATAAACAGCTAAAAATACTAACCTGTCCATTACATCCACTATCAGATCACAGATTCACAGAGTGCCGACGCCGACAGCCTGTCGGCGTCAGCAACAGGATTTATAGGTTAGGTTAGTGATGACATAACGTTTGAGTTTTGACGTTGACATTTGACGCCTTGCGCCATATTCCCTCCTAAGAAGATTATATAATGAAATCTTATTCCCTCTATAGTGAAACTTTCTCTATGATTCCCTCCGTAACGTAGGCTCAGTTACCAACAGTAAAAAAGTTGCTAGAAATTTTGTCCCAATTTTGAGATTCGATCGAGAACGATCGATTTATTATTTTTTTCTAATTGAAGGCAATTTTGAAAATTGTACTAGAATTGCCGAAGAGGTGCTGACGTACTAGAAGCTATTTTTTTGTACTAGAAAAGTACAATTGTACTAAAAATCACACCCCTGATTACATGCGTGAAGTTGTAGCCAACTGTAAAAAAAATAATAACTATTATTTAGCGCCATCTATTAATAATAATAAATAATAGAAAAAAAAAAAACGAGTTCGATTTAATCCTCGGTGAGAAGCGCATCGCTCGTTCTTAGCTCCATGAAAAAGTGTGAAACAACTTTGACTCAGGGAGGACAAAATCGGATTCCAGTCCTAGATAATATTCCTCGTTTTGTCCTTTTTTAAAGGAATTGAGGAATTTATATGAATATATAAATTTCAAGGTTTGATAACCTATATGTGTGCACGTGCACGACAATTGTAGTCCAAGGATGGATGGACGCTGAAATCATTGGACGTTAATATGAGCATCACTATAAAAGGCATGGAATAATCCAGACGTGTCAAAAGGCACACCTTTTATTGAGCACTTTTTTTTTGGGCGGCCGTCACACGACGAGAGTCACGACGCGAGTCCATGGTAACAAGGAACAGAACAGAACAGAAATAATAGAAAAACCTGTTGAGTTAAGTTATAAATTGCCTTTCTTCCTTCCTTCCTCCCGTAGATGAACAATACGAAAACCGTAGTGCAGTTTATAGATTCCCGTACCCTAAGAATGACCTTCCTTCCTTCCGTAGAAATTTTCAAGTTTTATCTTTCACCGGTATCATGTCAAAGCAATCACAGTATTTGATATAGGCTATTTTAGCGGAGCTATTATTATCTATGAGCTAATCCCGAACTAATTCCGGACATCCTAGGCATGCGCTCTTTAAAATTTGGCGTTCAAAATGTAAAGTGCGCATGACAAATATTAAAATGCTATACTTCTAGCTTATATTAATACTATATTTCTAATCTAAAGGGCTGTTCAGTTTTATTTTATAATATGAAATGTACATTTACTACTCAATCAAATAAAGCATCAATAAATTCAATACCTATTCTAAGTTAAAAGCTAGAGCCCATTATGTACAAGTATGTCCAATTAAAAATGATAAAAATGAGATTTTTTTTTGTAATTTAAGATTGTCAGTGACAATCTTAAATTACAAAAAAAATTCTCATTTTTATCATTTTTAATTGGACCCTAGGCTCAACCCAGTTGCACGTGCAACGTTGCAATGTACATTAAGGTTTGATTTTTTTTAGAAATATAGTATTAATATTAATTAATATTAATATATCCTTTTTCTATGGTATTAACCATTCTGACGCCACGACTTAACATTAATTGTTCTAGAATAGGTATCTCCTATGAAAAAAAAATTGTGAAAATTGATAATTTTAAAAAATGCCTAACTTTGATCCTCAAAAAACTCATGTGGAGGAAAAAATAAAAATTTGATATTTTCACAAATTATTATGATTTTTTTAAAGTGCTAATTTTACAAAAATATGCAAATAATTATTAGTCGTTTTTTCGCGTAAATACCATGAAATACTATGGTCATTAAACTTAACCTTGGTTAATAGTTAAGGCATTTTTGCGTTTAGAGTGCGTTCAAAAATCCTAACTATGACGTCACAAATACCAGACCATAAAACTATATCGCTGAGCTAGTTATTCAACGTGGTTAATAGTCTTTCTCTTTTTAATATATATATTTAATATGTTTATGTAGGAATAATGTTGTGTGCTAAACATATTAAATATATATATCTTCTCCAAAACATACCGCCAACCTTCGTCTTTTTCTTTGGGGTTCCATTCTAAATTTTGAGTTTCACAATAATAATTTTCGTATAAACGTTAAACACTGTTGGATTTTAGTTATGGTAAACAACAGGGAGGAACTGTTTATATATAAAAAGAGGTATAGAAAAAATAGGTATAAGAACTAGGGTTCATAGAAAAAGAATATACAAGGTATAAGAAGAGGCAAAGAAATTTATTTACACCTGTAAAAGCATAGAAATTAAATATAAATAGGTAAAAACACATTTAAAAATTATAGGTTATGAACAAGTAAACAAATGTCAAATGTTAGAAACCTAACCATGGTTATATGAATTAACTGTGACGTCATGACTTATTTAACCGTAGTATTACATAGTATTTACGCAAAAAAACGACTATTGAAAATTTCGCTAACTTGAACGGTTATATAAATGTGAATTTTTATATTAGTAATTTCAATTTTAAATAGGTGTTTTCGCGGTGCTAATCCCGAACTCAGGTGTATGTATCTTGTCCCGAACAGTTCGGACGTCCTAGGCATGCGCATTTTAATATTTTGCCTGGTTTATGCAGACTTAAAACTTAAGACTTAACATTTAACAATTAAGAAGTTAAAAGTTAGGTTATTTCATTGATTTCCTTTAACGTCGTTTATGCACCATTTAAGACTTAAGACTTAAGACTTAACATTTAAGAACTAAGAAAAATGACCTTGAAAGATAATAAACTTTTATCTTTCTTAAGTCTTAATTTTTAATTCTTACATGAAATCGCATTCCCACATAGCAAAATAATATACCTAGCATGTGCTCAGAATCAACTTCTTACGTATAAGGATATTAGGAATATGTTCTGAGCATATGCTAGGAATAATGCTTTTATATACTAGGGAAATGCTTAGCATATCCTTTTGGCCACAAGTAGCATGTGCTATGCACTACAATTGGGAATGTTCTAAGAATATACTGGGAATACTTGGCTATATATACATAGCATATTCTGTGAACATACTTGGTAAGGTAAAAAAACAGCTACCTATATGCTTAATAACATTTATTAAAAAAAAGGTTATAATATGTATTAGGTATTGTGTTCTTCCTCATGCTGTTTGTCAGCCAATCTAAAATATATATATATATAGGAAGTATTATTATACAGGGTGTCCCAAAAAGAATGAGACATAAGGTAACATCGTATTCCTTACGCAAAAATATTGTTTGATGTGGCTGACTGTGTCGGAGTCAAATGAGCCAGCGGCTTAAACCCAGATTGATCACTTCGTGCAAAATGAATAGTAGGACTTACTTCAAACAGACTTGAATCAATATTATTACTACACTTGTTACTACATGTTGGTTTAGAAGATGGTGGAGATGAAGAAATAGAAGTAGAAACCTTAAGAGTGTCATTTAAAGTAAGCAAAAGTTCTGCTTCACGAGTTTTTTTAGTCACCATACGTCTAAGCGAGCGTTTAATTTTTGGGTGGTTTTTTGTGAACATTGTATGTCCTCCAACTCAGCTTAACCACAACTAACTATAATAACTACCTACTTACATACTAAAGTATGTATCAATACTATAGTATACCTACTATAGAATGTAGTATACTACATTCTTAGCACACAACTAACCTTAAAAAGTCAAGCTTTTCAGTCTTTCCTTTCCAGACTTCAATAAACTCGCACATCAAATACAAAACTTAGGAACTATACCTCTGTGTATAATATATATAATATTTAGTGTTTTCTTTTAGGGCTTACACCACTTACGACCTACACCACAAAATATAACCCCCTTGTCAGAGGAGTGCAATGCAATGCCCACAGAATACAATGCTCCCGTGGCCACCGTTTACGCACTATTTTAACTGCACAGCACTTTAACCTTTAACCGTTTGTTTTGAAACTTTTTTACGATAAACAAATCCTCGGACAAAAGACAAACCAATAAAATGGCGTGCGGCCGAGTTGACATACAACATAACAACAGCGCCACCTGTTGCTCGATCTGTGACAGATCGATCTGTCACAGATCGAGCAACAGGTGGCGCTGTTGTTATGTTGCATGTCACAAGCATATACTACGTACATGCTACAACTTAGTCAAAAGTATATCCTGTAAAGTTTTTATAAGCATATAGCGAAATATCCTTAGCATATGCTATGAATAAATGCACGGGAATATACGTTTTAGAATATAGGTGGTACATGTTTATATATTCGTGGAACATGCTAAGAATATAAGAATATGAATATAAGTTCAGGTACATTCTGGGTATATGCTATAGATATGAATATGCTTTTTATTGTTATGTGGGTTTGCGCAAGCGTTAACTAGGGAATTTTAAATTAAACTGTTTCTTTTTCTACGGTTGTTGTAACTGAAAATTTAAAAATTCGTGTATCATGTTTTTCTTAAAATTATTGTGCTAAAATGATAGATAGTTTGGATCCATTTTAGATTAAACTAGTAAACACAGATTATAAAAAACGTTGATAAACAAAAATATACGCATTCGCAAAACACAACGGTAAAATTTCAATGTTAATTGTCATTTTAATGTTGGTAGTACCAACTTGATACCACGTGATATTTTTATCGATTTTGATTGGTTACTCCTTAAGTTTTAAGTCTTAAGATAAATGCTGCATGAACGCCACAAAATTTTCGCTTAATTTTTAATTCTTAAGTCTTAAGTCTTAAATGTTAAGTTTTAAGTCTTAAGTCTGCATAAACCCACCATTTGTCATGCGCACTTTACATTTTGAACCCCAAATTTTAAAAAACGCTTGTCCGGAATTAGTTCGGGATTAGCTCCGCGAAAATAGCTAATATAAACACATCCGTGAGGTTAGTTTTTTGCCAATAAAATAATATATTATACATATAGCGAAAAACAATAAAAAAATCATTGAGTTAAAATATTTGTATTGAATTTTTATTTAAATAAAGTACTTAATATTTGTTAAAAAAATCATCCCTTTTAATTTATCTTTTGGACCATTTTCTGTTGTAGTTAGGTATATGATTAATAAATTAATTTGTGATTTTTGAAAAGAAAAATTTGTCCCAAAAATATTATTACTAAATTATTATTATTATTATTATTTCTTTGTTTGTATTTAAATTGCAACAGATTTTAGAAAAATTGATTTCTTGGCATTAAAAATTACTAATTTTTTGGAAAATTGTCATATTTTGCATAATATAATTTAAAGAGAATTTTAATTTCACACGGCGATTTTATTCCGCTATGAGAGTGTTGTACATCCGTGAGGTTAGTTAATTCTAGAATACAATCTAAAATTCTGATTTTTTGCAGACTTATACTTGAAATGTGAGTGTTTCTAATAGCAATTTAAAATTTTTAAAAATTTCCAAACAATGACAAAGTTAAAAAAAAAAAAATAAGTCGCTAACTTTAACGGTTGTAGAAATATGAATTTTTATCAGAGTCCTGAAATGCGCGCTATAATAATACATCATACATATAACTGAAAACAAATGAAAAATGCACAGATACTTGATTCAACTACCTAATTCCAGTATAGCATAAGCCCCGCCCACTGACGGCTCGAGCAGATCAGGCAAGACAGAGAAAGCATGTCGGCTCGGTTTCGAATATCCGAGCACTGCCACGGGAATCTATACCTAAATTGACTTTTTACAAGACATACAAATCGTACGGGCCAGCAGCCGGGACGAAGGAAGGAAGGCAATCAATAAATCAGGCTTTAACTGCTCTAATTAAGAACAACATTTAAATCCAAAGTGTTTTTGGCTATAATCCTACACCAAGGGTCTAGGGCTCTAATCCTAGCAAAAAACAAATTTTGTAGTTATAGCTATGTCTATAGACAAAACTAGGATTATTTAATAATCCTAGTTTTGTAACTTTGCTCCAGTGGTTCTAAGAAAAAAAGTGTTCATCTTTAATTTGTCCCGTTTTAAACGGTCCGTTTACGTCCCGTTACTAATTTAAAATACAAAAAAACGTTGGCATAAAAATATAACATTTATTTAAAAAATAATACAATTTTGTATAATATAAGAAAACTTAATATAAAGAAAAAATTAATGATGGAAAAGCCGCAAGTTTGTGTGCGCTAAAGTGATTTTATGTTCATTACAGGCTTTAATGACTTCAGCATCGTTGGTGGAGCCTGAAGGACTTCCAATAAAAGAAACTCCACTCTGAAAGAATAATTAAATAAGAATGATTGTAAAGTTATGTATATTATATTATCATTAAAAAATAGTTACAAGATAAACTTACAAGTCTGGCTCTGTCAATATTATCTCTGAATGGGAAGAAGGCGTCAGATGCCAAAGCCACTCCGGTCAACTTGTCCAACCAGGTTCTGCGCTCAGAGTCGCTAAGAGGTACAGGTACTTCTTCATACATTGCTTCAAACACTTTCCTGTCCATGTCCTTGCCCACAGTGTTATTTACATAATTATCAATGGCATTTGAGATTTCAGCCCTCTTTACACCTTTCTTGAACTTCATGTTCAATACTTTAGGGTGTTGTCTCAACCACCAGTTGTCCGCCTTATCACCTGCCAATCTGGTGCAGTGGATTCTGGATTGTTGACCAGCACCAATACCAACAACTTGACCATCCTTGGCATAGCATACCGAGTTACTCTGTGTGTATTTTAGAGCAATTGTGGCAACAATTAAGTCTCTTTGAGCGGATTCTGGAAGATTCTTGTTGTCAGTGACGACATTTTGAAAGAGAGATGAATTGATTACAGCATTGTTTCTTTGTTGTTCCAAAGTAAGACCAAAGAGTATTTTTCTTTCAATTGGGCTTGGAGCATAGGTAGGATCAATCTGCAAGACACAGTAATTTCCATTTTTCTTTTTGCTAAGCAATGCAAGGGCATCGGCGGTATATCCAGGGGCTATAATACCGTCGGATACTTCTCTGGAAATAAGTCTAGCTGTGGCTTTATCGCAAACGTCTGAAAGAGCGACAAAATCTCCAAACGAAGACATACGGTCTGCTCCCCTTGCTCTAGCATAGGCAAGAGCCAATGGTGTCAATTCACCAATCAAGTCATCTACCATACACACTTTAGCCTGAAAACAAACAAAACCCTATTCATTTCATATTGCGTATTAAATATTTTTTAAGGTTTTAGTATGCTATAGGAAGAGCTTAAAATTGATTTTTAAATAAAACAGTTCATATAAAGTTATGTCCAAATAGTGCTTATTTCCAAGATACAGGGTATTAAGTTTATAAGATTTTCTTTAATATCTTTCAAAATATAAAAGACAAATTATTTAAATTTAATATGCAGTTATAGGTATCTAAAAGAAAAACATTATTTAAAGTATTTTCTTTAAAATATCTGTTTTCGCGGTGCGTTTTCCGAACTAGTTCAGACATCCTACTAGTTCAGACATCCTACTAATTATTAGTATAAATAAAACAAAGCAAGCATTAGCATTTGCCAGATGAAGGGTTTTCCCCCTAGATTTAAGTCGTTTTTTCGCGTAAATACCATGAAATACTATGGTTATTAAACTTAACCTTGGTTAAAAGTTAAGGCATTTTTGCGTTTAGAGTGCGTTCAAAAATCCTAACTATGACGTCACAAATACCAGACCATAAAACTATATCGCTGAGCTAGTTATTCAACGTGGTTAATAGTCTTTCTCTTTTTAATATGTATTTTTCTCTGTTTCGATCTGTCAAAAAGTTGTTTACATTTGACGTCAAAAAGTAATTTAAAATATTTTAAGTAGGTATTATCTTTGGGTACAATTGCTCTTAAACCGAATTTAAACTTTGTATTAAAATGGTAAACGCCCTTCTTAAAATACCCCATAGAGACCCTGTTCAAACCGATAGATATTTGTATCGGAATGTATGGTGTTTCTATAGGGTGTATCGGTATGTATAGGACCCATAGTTGCGATTTATGGTTGTTCTATAGGGATATCCACCCTTGATTTATTTGCTATTGGTTTCAATGGGCGAAAATACACATAAATGTAGAAATTAGTTTTTCCCCCATAGGACCCCATAGGTTTTAATAAAATTTTGTCAAATGTTTTATGGTATCTCTATAGGGATATCCCTATATATCCTTCATTGAGTTATTTTCTATCGGTCTCAATAGGGAAAATGTAAAAGTTATTGTGTGCCTATAGGTAATTTCCTATACATTTTCTATCGGGCCGTATCCGAAAAAAACCATGGACAAATGCACATATTGAATCTGGTAGCGCCCGATAGATTAATCTTAATTATTTTGTATAGGTCTCTATGGGGTATTTTAAGCAGGGCGGGGTGTTGTCAGTGAAAATAAATGATAGGGTGCTCCATATTGTGGAATCTCCACAAGAAGTGGAGGAATTATATGCAGGTTTGCTTTATATTCTTCCTTATTTTGTATTAAACATGTAGGAGAATTGGATAACGTGTATTGAAAAAACTAGTATAGAAAAAGAATATACTAGGTATAAGAAGAGGCAAAGAAATTTATATACACGGGTAAAAGCATAGAAATTAAATATAAATAGGTAAAAACACATTTCAAAAATTATAGGTTATGAACAAGTAAACAAATGTCAAATGTTAGAAACCTAACCATGGTTATATGAATTAACTGTGACGTCATGACTTATTTAACCGTAGTATTACATAGTATTTACGCGAAAAAACGACTTTAGGGTTTTTTAGGGTTCGAGGAGATTGTCTGCGACTTCTTTTTGTGGAGTTACCCATGATACAAGGAAACATGGTATTGAAACCAAATTGCGTCCGCCACGCGCATGTACGTCACATTCGTTAATCTAAAGTAGATATTTCCATAAACCTATAACTATAAGTTATAGGTATATGGATATATGGTATATGGATATTTCACTTGCTGATGCATTATTTAATGATATTGTGTTTAATTAGTAATTATTCTGAAATGAATGGTTAGTTTGGAACTTATAATAATTCTGAATTTCGTATTCAAGACTGTAATATGTAGGTAACAACTAAGATTATAATATTATTATTATATTATAATGTATTATAATTATTATATATAAGGTTATATAAAAAATTAAATCTTTTTCTGTTCCAAATAAAACTTGTACCCCCCAACCGTTTTAACGGGTGAAGATGGACAACATTTCTTGGACACGTGAATTTTTATTTCTAGGTAGACGAATTTTAATGTACTATTCACAATAATATAAATATAAATTCATAAATAAGATTCTGTAATTTTTTCAAAGTGGATTTAAGAAAAAATAAAGGACAATGTTTTTTCGGCAACTTCTATTTTGACAGCTATCATTTAAGCACCTGTCATTTTGACATCTGTCATTCATGCACTTGTCATTTTAACATATGTCATTTAGGCACCTGTCATTTTGACAGTTGCCATTTTGAACAACGTCTGTACTATTGCATGGAAGTTGGATGGAATCACTTTGTTGATTTACAATTTTTTTGTTTTTCTTTTAATTTTTATATTCAAATAGCAATTTCTCGTAAACTAACACAGATTTTTTGAAAAAAATTACATAATCTTAAAATAAAAACGTAAATTAAAAGACTTTTAAAACAATATGTCACTCAATACCAATTTAAGATTTTGGTGGAGGGAGCGCGGGTGATAAATATATATAAAAGTAAGTATTCAAATAATTCAAATAATTTAAATGTTTCGGGCTATTTTAAGTATAAAATAAATTTATTGAGTAATTTATAATCTATAATCCATTTAAGCTTATCTTTAATTCTCTAAAAGTTGTAGGTCTTGAATTGTACTTTTAAGTTTTTATATTACCTGTTCATTGTTCAATGGAATTCCTACGGCGGCTCCAGCTGGAGAAACATGTTTAAAACTGGTTGCAGCTGGTAATCCCAAAGCTTCTTTAAGTTCCTTAACCAATTGCCAGCCGTTTAAGGCGTCACAGAGGTTAATAAATCCGGGAGAGCCATTTACAACTTTCAATGGTAAATTAGGTAAATTGGTGAAAATTTGTGCTGGTTTTTGGTGAGGGTTCATGCCATATCTTAGGGTGATTTGAGACTCATTAGCAGAATACTGTTTTCTTAAGTAATCAGTGATGGCAAGGTCATATTCGGAAGTGTGGGTGAAGGCTTTCAAAGCCAAACTTTGTTTGGTTTGTTCGGTGGTGTCTTTGTTTGGAGAAGTTTTAATTTCTTGAATGACCTTATCATAATCTGATGGATCACAAATGATGGTCACTCTAGCGTGATTTTTGGCAGCAGCTCTAAGTAAAGTAACACCACCAATATCAATATTTTCAACTGCGTCTGCTATGGTTACATCAGGTTTGGATACAGTTTCAACAAATGGATACAAATTGCACACAACAATGCGAATCATATCAATGTTTTGTTTTTTCAAGTCGGCTTGGTCAGATGGAATTGATCTAATAAGAAAAATGGAACATGTAAGAGAGGCTGTACTTACAAGAAAAAATATACTATAGCAAAACTACAAAAACAACAATTTACTATAGATATTTATAATGTTAGATATGTATATCTATAATAATATTATTTTATGTAATATATACAGTGTTGTAACAGTTACAATATTTTCAGTATCTAGCTACAGTTACAGTTACTTACCAAAATTTGTAACTAGATACAGATACAGTTACATATTTTATTGCAGTAACTAGTTACAGATACAGTTACCTTCAAAAAGTATCTAGATACTTTAAGATACATACAAATTATTTTTTGCTTTAAAAAATTTAAAATAGAAATAAAAGGGAATTTTAAAGTGACAACAAAAATATACATGTTTATTATTTTTATTTTTTTTATAATATTTTATTTAAAATAACTTATTTTTTATAATATTTTTTTTTTAATAAATAATAGTCGCAGTTTAATTAAAAATGTATCTTTGTATCTTAACACACCTAGTTACTTAGAATTTGTAATTAGTTACAGTTATAGTTACTAGATTGGGATAAGTAACTAGTTACACAAACAGATACATAAAAAGTATCTAGATACTGTATCTAGTTACTTGTAACTAGATACGTTACAACTCTGAATATATATTTTATACAGCCTGTATACAATATATATTACATAATATAATATTATTATAGATATATCTAACATTATAAATTCAGGGTGGCCCATCGAAAACGTACCGCAAGGCATTGCAGGCTGGGAAGGAACTTTTCGATAAAATCCAAAAACAAGTCAAGTTTGTGTGTCAGGGAGACAACTTTTGACGCAAAAAGCAAAGCAAAATCTTCAACCCCCTAAGTGGGGGTGCCATTTCCCAAATATTTTCAAATGGGAATGGGGATACAAAAAGGGCTTTTAATTCTATACATTGTATACATTGCTGCTTAGATTTTGAAAAAAAATATGGAGTTTTGAAAAACCCACAATACGTTTTACAAAAAATGCACAATTCGATTTAATTTTACTTCAAAACATGATTTAGTTAATTTTTTTATTTTTAATAAAAAAATACATTTTAGGAAATTAGCATATGGTATTTTTTGGAAACGTAGAAAAAGTATAGTCTGAAACACATTTGAAATTGCATATTCCGCTCTCGTGACAAACTTTACACTCAAGCGGAATATACCGCATTCCAAACTTGTTACAGAATATAATATTTTATAATATATATATATAACATATACTATATACTATTATATATGTCAGACATACGGTTCTTTTAAGAACAAAAAACCGACAACACGGAGAAGATCCTGAAAAACCACTAATACATATAACGCCCGTGAAAAAATGTTGGGAGCACGATCAAGTTTTGCAAAACATTTTTCTATATTTAGTAGGAATTAATTTATATCAATTAATATGTACCCGGACAACAATCGGGATTTCCTGGTGAAGTCATGATGATATCACAACGTGATTTTTTTATCACGCTGTGATATCCTGAGTGCATACACATTAGGGTGGCCCAAAAAAATAAGAATATTTTTTTTCTCTTGTCTCTTGTGAAAATATGTCAAAAATTGGATTTTTTTTTTATTTTAATTTTTTTTCTCGTTCCGATATTATTTTTTAATTTAAAAATAATAATGATTCTGAAAATTTCAAATGGATATTTTGATTTCTAAAGGTCGCTCAAGATTTTTTTAACTTTCAAAGTAGAGTATTTTGAATGTTTTCGAGCGACCTCTGAATATAAATATCAACGAACTTTTAGCGACCTTTAGAAATTAAAATATTGATTTGATATTTTCAAAATTTTTATTATTTTCTACCAAAAAAATAATATCGAGACAAGAAAAAAAATTAAAATAAAACAAAAATTCAATTTTTGACGATTTTGAAAATTTTAAAAAATCTTGAGCGACCCCTAAAAATTTTTTAATCGAGCTGATATTTTGACAGGGCTCTTACAGCATGATAAACTAACATATTTTTACAAGAGACGAGAAAAAAAAAGATATTCTTTTTTTTTGGGCCACCCTAATACACATGCTTCATCACAGTGATATCATGTAGAACTCACGGTGTGATATTCGCAAAATTTGCGCATGCCTATGCCCTGCGAACTGCGAATTTAAAACCTACCCGGACAACATTCGTGAAATTCATACGAACATCACGTCGTGATTTTCACAAATTTTATTTATACTGATATCATACGGAAGTCACCACGTAATAAATGAAAATCATACGAACGTCACGTCGTGATTTTCACCATCGGTGTTTGGTCATAAAAAATCACGACATGATTTTCGTATGAATATCACGAATGTTGTCGGGGTACATACATACATGCAAAATAAAATTTTTCAAATAACGTTTTTCAAATAACGTATAGCCATATTTTAGTTATTAAACCTGCCATGTATATGGTTTATCTAGTCTCTTTACTTTCAATAGTTCAATAGAATTTTATTGCCATAAATAACTACACGTTTGAAACGATTTATAGCTTTGGAGAATGTTTGTTTTAAAGATTGACGATTTTTTTAAATTGGTTTTAAACAAAATAATTGATATATAGTTTCTCCAATTATAAAGTGAATTGAGAGATCCAGACTTTCTTGGGCGAATTCGTTATTGGTTCAAGCGTTTTTTTTTAAATCGTTGTTAAGAACGCCGGCCTTTTTTGGATGCACCCGGCCTTATTAGTGGAAAGCCGACCAGCACAGCAAACGGAAAATTATAGAAGTGTATAGGATGACTCCGCGTTTGAATATCAAATCTTAAAGTTTTATCATAACTGTATTGAATCGTGCTTTGTTTTTATATTTTTCGGCTCTATACCTATGCACGACTATATTTAAAGTCAAACTCAATGGTGTCTTACAAGATACATTATTTTGATTTTCTATATTCAACAGAGGAGTAGAAACTCGACCCTGTCGAATGGTGCAGTCATTTATGTCTCTAGAAATTATTAAAAAAGGGTTCAGTCCAATGGTGCAGCAACTTCGAATTCCTATTCTCCTCAGAGACATAGAAACTCAAGCTTTTCGAATTTTACTGGCAATGATTTTCGTTAATGTCCCCGAGAATTATACAAAAACAGCGCAATGCAATATCGCAACGGTTTCGACTTCTCTTTACTCTACCAAGTTATAGAAACTGGAGTCTCTCTAATACTGTTCTAGTCAATATTTCTGAGAATATAAAAAGAGGGTGTAATATTGCAAGAAGTTTTGATCTTTTGATGGATGCAAGTAGTTTGAATTTTCTCATTTCTGCATATGATTTTGTTGAAAATAGTTCCTTTCTTTGGTTCCTTTGTCTGATTTTTATTTACCGTAACAACTCAGGTATGTAAAGCACAGAGGATATGATGTTAAGTATATTTATGTATTATATAAAGTACCTATATTTGTATTAAAAATTTCAGAGGTTATGTTGAAAAAATGATCGATATGCTATTAAACTTTAATAATTTAGTAATTAGGTCTGTTGGTAGACCCTGCACTATCTCCACTGGTATATGTTAGTTTTGTAATATTTAAATCTGGTTGATGAAAAAGTACACACCAGTGCAGGTTATTGTAGCATCTACGAACAAATGAATTAATGGCCCATTGGCAATTATTCCTTTAGGAAAAATATTCAACACAGCTTACTTAATTAATAAAATGAAAAAAATCACAATCATGTCGTATATAGTTTTTTTTAAGCATAAAATAATTTTTATATTAATACTAGTTCAAAAGTGAAATTACGACCTCTATACTGTGGAGAGTATTGAAACGCTCGACTGACGAATACAACTCTATACCGTAGGGAGATTTAGAAAACGATATTCAAACGTGGCGTCATCCTATACACCTCTATAATTTTCCGTTTGCTGTGAGCATCAATTTATATAATAAATTATCACGATTGTTTTTTGACGTTTTAAAAACCAATAGAAAATTTCAAATTTAGTCATGTAAGTATGTATGTTTTTGGAATTATCTACTGTACTATGTGAAACACAGCTGTGTCCTCTAGAGGATGTGATGTGATCCAATACACAAGGCACTGACAGCGTGCTTACACATCACGGGTATCCGGCACCAAGGGCGTCGCCAGAGAGGGGCAGGGGGGGCAGCTGCACCCCCCTAGAGGTTAACGCTCACAAGTCACCCTGCTAATTGAAACGATAAAACGATAAACTGAGTGTTGTGGAAATCCTTAAGGAAACTGAAGATTTTTTTCCTGAAATTAAGAAGGCTTTAAAGATCCTTGTTGCTTTACCATGTACGACTGGTACAGTTGAAAGGTCATTCAGTAGCCTCAGGAGAATCAAAACCTGGTTGAGGAGCACCATGTTTGAAACTCGACTCAATGGCATCGCAATGATAAGTGTACACAGGCAACACATTTTCAAAAACTTGGACGATTTCGTCAACAAAGTGTGTAGTTATTTTGTTCGTTTTTTATTTTTTTTATGAAAACTTTTTTTTTTCATTTTTCTCTTGTTCTTATATGCTGCCCCCCCCTAGCTTACCGGCTGGCGACGCCCTTGTCCGGCACTGATGAAAATTTAATTTAATTTATTGGTCTGGTAAATTGTAATAACCAACACCTATTTTTTATTAACACCGGTGTAGGCCTACATGTTTTCAAATTTAAAACGATGGTTTTAGCAATTTTGATGCTGAGCGCTGTAGGTATTGTTCGCTTTTTATAAAAATGATAAACAGTAAACTAACTTAACACTAATCTTTGTTATTTTTCTTTTCCAATTATTGAATAAATTTAAAATTAAGATCCATTATTATTTTTAATACTAAACATTACATTTTTCTTTTAATAAAGAACCTTAAGGGCCCCCTCATTGTTTAGCCCCAGGCCCCCTTTTGCCTTAATCCGTCCCTGAGCATAAATCATATTGGTGCATTTAAACTGGACCTAAACATGGCGCAAAAAGTCATCATTTAAATAAACATCAGTCTTTAAACTCAAGCATCTATGAAATAATAAAAGTAAATATTTGTAACAACAAAAATAATAGTAAAAACAACAGTTTTTACTATTATTTAGTTACCTATTAAACAATTCTTAGCAACTTATTACAAGGGACAAATTTTGAACTCTGTCAAAACCAGTGCCCAGAAATATTGTGTGGGGGGTTAAGGGTACGGGATGGGAGAAGAAATGGAGGGGGGTTAAAACAATCTAAGATTTTTTTTTCTTTACTATTTTGTGTGAAAATTTTGAGCCTTGGGGGTTTGACTATTTAAATGATAAAACTTATGTGAAAAGTGAAAATTTTGGCAGTGATTTAGTGAGAATTTTGCTTTTGTTGCAAGGATAACTGATCATTTTGAAAACCTATTTTGGGTATTATCAAGAACTGCATGCGATAATACCCAAAATAGGTATATATATACCAAAAAAGGGTATATATATATTAGGTACTGTAGGGGTTTCAAAAATGGTTTTATACTTCTAGTGTCCATGTTGTGAAAACTGGGCAATTACCTTACCCTTGTTGCTTTTGTTTTAAGCTTGCAGACAACAAGTTTTAAAAATATCTGTCAAATTATGTTAAATTTATTCTCATTTTCTTGTGACATTAACTCTGAATTAACTCGGAATCCGAATCTCGGATATTAATGTTGACAACAACCTTAAATGCTCAGAATTAAACTCCTTTTCCACAGCAACAACATACCTTGCCAAAATTCCTCCATGTACCACTGGGTGGAGAGTTTTAACTCTTCCTCCCAGGATTTCTGGAGCGCCGGAAATTTCGGAAACATCCTTAACTTGTAAACCAGAATCCCTAAGGCTTTTTGCCGTGCCCCCACTAGCAACCAAAGTAAAGCCTAAATCTGAAAGACTTTTACCCAATTGCAAAATTCCCCTTTTGTCGGAAACTGAGAGTAGTGCTGCAAAAATTAATAAAAAAAAACTATTTAGGGTGAATTGGAGACCATTTAATTTACCTTGCATTTAAATAGTAAATGCTTATTTGTAGGTTAAAAAACACGTGAAATCTTACCTAAGTTTCCACCTGTTGCCATTGTAGATTTTAAATTAATACACTTTAAACCCCACAACTAATATTCTAGAGTAATTTTAATTAAAGTAAATTAAAATATAGGGGGGGTCCAACTTTTATCCACTTGCTTAAGCAATAATACAGGTCACCGGTGATAAACCCAAAAATTATCGTAAAGAAAACATGTTTTCTTATTTACTTAACTGTTTTATGATGCAATTTGCACAAAATAATTTCATAAAACTATGATGAAAATAATGCAATAAGTTAAAGAATTACACAAAAATCATATGATTATGTATATTTATTTCCAGGATTTAAATAAACCGCCTTCATACTGTTCCGTTTTTCAATGCAGCCAATATAAATAAGTATTTTGTTTAGAAATGAATATTATGTAGTTATTTTAATTAAGGTATAAAAAAAAATGTTTATAGGAAGCAGAAGCGGTCTTAGTTTTATATTCAGGCCAATTCACTAACATGAGTTGTTATGTTTTGAATTATATGATCCATTGCAGTAGTATTATATATATATAAATAAAAAGGGCAATTCTCTGCAACTGCAATGAGTTGTTAACGTTAGCCACTAAAACAAAGTTTTTTGCACTAAAATTAGTAGTTATCGTTATATTTAATCGGCCTGATTGGCTGGATTGGCCGATAACCACTGATTCTAGTGGCTAACGTTAACGACTCATGTTAGTGAATTGCCCTGATTGTCTATTCTTTTAATGGCATTTAACCACTGTTTGCACTAATCAATGTTTTTCAGGAATCGATTAAATTTAATGTTTTTATTTAAAGGGTTTTTCTTGGACTGGTTGTCCGAATTGCATGAAAATATGCCACACCGCATTTTAATAAATGCAAATGGCACGACACAAACAAAACAAGTTAACGCAACACAAAAACAATAATAAACAAACGGTTAACACAACGAAATAACAATAATTTGAACACAAGTTAAACAAAAAAATAGAGTTAACATCCAACATGCTGCAGCATCGCAAAAACAAGAATTTTGCCGTTTATAGATTCCCGTACGGAAATCCATAAACGGCACTACGATTTTCGTATTGTTAATCTTTTATGGGAGGAAGGAAAGAAAGAAGGAAGGCAATCTATAAATCAGGCTTTGTAATTAAAATTATCTATTAAAAAAACATTGAAATAAAATTAAACTAATATATTATAATACTAATAATACTATAGTAACATGGTACTATTAATTTAATATTATTTCAATTTTTTTTTCATGGCTAACTTGACAGAATAAATTTTTGTATTTTGTACTGCAAAATTTGTAGTTATTGTGCATTTTTCTACTTAAACTTTTTCAATAAAATTTAGTAAAGGGTGGTTTTAAGGGGTGGTAAATCCAGTGCTGTACTTAAAAATTCTTAATTCTTAAAAATTTACTCTTAAAAACTGACATAGTGGCCCTTGTATTTTGTAAAAATATAGCGTTTTTTGCTCATAAAATGCAGTTTATCAAGATCTACACTTTAAAACAAATCCGGTTAAAATCGCACAAATATAGCTACGATCATAAGCGCACAGGGCAAGGTTTGAATTTTGCGTCCCACAAAAGTATCCTTGGTCCCCACAAAGCACTAGAGGCTAAATGTAGCAAAGTATTCCTTAAGGTTATGACGATTAGCTGTCATTTTGGTTATGCAGGTACACTGCATTGTGCCATACCCAAACTTAACAACCCAATCCAACCAACCCCGCCCCATTGGGCCCCTCCCGCCCCATTGTCACAATCCAGCCTGCCCTTAGATATATTATACCTCTATTGCTCAATGGGGCGGGAGGGACCTATAAATAGTTAACGAGTTATAGCTATAACTGTATTTTATCATATACCTACCTAGGTATATGATAAAATCAGAGATATCTCTGGATAAAATACAACTTTTAGTAATAATAATTTTAGTTGGCACCAATCCCCCCTTCTAACCAAATCCTTGTCAATGGTTGGCACCACTTATTTATTATCTATGGTTGGCACCACTTAGTCACCAAAATTGTTTACCTCATGGAAATTTCCGAATACCAATTTCTTTTTCCACCGACGTTTGTTGAATGTACTTCGTTTTGAAAATCAGCTTTTATTTAAGTCATCCTAAAATGTTTTTTAATTTTAATAAAAAATATAAATAGTCAACATTTATGGGGAAATATCCAAGTAAATATGGATGGTGAAGAAGTTTGTTCAAGCACGTTGACAAAAGTGTTAAACGAACATGAAGAAAAAAAACTGGAGGAACAAAACCAGCGCTTGGTAAGCGACCATAAAGCCGGCATGCTGGAGATTCAAGCAAAAAAGCATTGGGATTTGTTTTACAAACGCAACGAAACAAGATTCTTTAAAGACCGTCACTGGACAACAAGGGAGTTTTGTGAACTTATCAACGACAATGTGGATGAGAGAAAAACCGTTTTCGAAATCGGATGTGGGGTTGGGAACTTTATTTTTCCGTTAATCAAAGATAAAATCAATTTGTTTGCCTTGGCATGCGATTTATCACCAAGAGCTGTAGAAATGGTGAAGTCAAACCCACTTTATGATGAAAATCACATACATGCCTTTCAGGGAGATATTGTTTCAACGGAAATCTTGGGACACGTGGAATTGGAAAGCGTTGATATCGCAACTTTAATTTTTGTACTCTCTGCCATACACCCAGATAAATTTGTAAAAACTTTGCAAAATATTCATTTGCTACTCAAAAAAGATGGTATCATACTTTTCCGCGACTATGGTCTGTATGATATGGCACAATTACGGTTCAAAGCTGGTCACAAGATATCTGAAAACTTTTATATGAGGCAGGATGGTACCAGAAGTTTTTATTTTTCTCTGGATTACATTAAAACAATTTTTGAAGAGGCTGGCTTTGAGATTATTGAGAACTCCTACATACACAGACGGACTATTAATAAAAAGGAGAATATTGATGTGCCCAGAATTTTTGTGCAAACCAAGGCTAAAAAAAAATCTTGGTAAGTTATAATTTATTTTTGTCTCGTTCTTATAGTTTTTATGATGACAATCTTATCACCGTTGTATGATTTACCTGATTAATCTATAACATGCACTACCAACTGATCTAGACTTGATAAATTTTAGTATTTTTTTGTTTTATTGACAATAATAATTTTATTTTATCTTTTCAGATAAAAAATGGCTAAATGGGATGGCATTTAAAACACTACCCCATGGATTCCGATGACTGCAGAAAATTAAATTAAAATGGAGGTAAATTAAAGCAAAATGTTACTATAAATAGTTAATAACAAGTACTATAATTTAGTAAAATTTGGAAAGTTAACATTTTTTTGGTGGTATGCTTTGAAATATAATAGTAATATGGTGCACATATTATAGCTGAGCACATAAATATTATTTCACTGCCGAGGCAGTACAGTGTGTGAGGCAATTAATAAGCTTTTGCCGCCGGGTTTTATCCAGGGTGGTCCAAAAGGAACCTTTAATAATTTGAGAATTAATAAAAAACATGATATAATAAGTATAATAACAAAATTACCATTGACCTTTTGTATTTATTCTCAAATTATTTTAGGTTCCTTTTGAACCACCCAGTATACCATTTTTTTAAGCATTTTGGGATTTTGACATAATTTTTAGGTTTATTTTTGTAATGTGTAATAATAATTTGTCTTTTTGTATAGACTTGTATAATATAATATAAAAATTACTAAATACGTAAAAAAAAGGTAATTTTATGGGTAATTGTCAACTAATAAAGTTTTAAAGATATTCAGAAAAAATGATAATGGTTTAGGACCCAAGTTAATATAAGGCCATTTAGTATGCTATTAGTCAATCAAATCTTCAAATTTTTGAGTCCACATAAAAACGCTTAAAAATGTTTTACAAAAGAAATAAAAATTATAAAATTGGTATAATTTACTTATGATGACTTCTTACACACCAAGATATGAGTTAAGCTGATTATTCTTAACATGCACTACCAACTGAACTACAACATTAATCTAAATTATCGTGTGTTTAATAATTAAAATTTTACTTATTATATTTCTTACTTTTTCAGGATCGCTCCAATCCATCTCTATGTAGAAGTGTGATCCAGATTGTGCTATAGGTAAATTATTGTGTATATTGAGTGGTACAGTTGAACTTTAATACTTAACTCAAAGTTTTTTTGTGGCAAGTCATGGTTCAAGTTATCAAAGTTTTACTGTATTTTATTTTTTTAACTTTTTAATGATGAAATAATAGTTCAAATGAATTTATTTGATTACACAACCATTTGTCTTTCGCTCCTAACTGAAAAAATTACTTTTAAATATTTTATTATTTATTGTAGTTTTTTTTGCTAACACTCTATTTTTTGTTACAGAATTTTTGGTGATACAAGTCGTTTCTTTATTGGCAGCTGGATTAAAAAATATCCAACTAGGTATGTTATTTTTTTTATCATTATTATTTTTACTAAACTTGTATGATGACTTCTTACACACCAAGATATGAATGCTATGATTATTTTATAAACATGCACTACCAACTGATGTATCCAAAACTAATTAATTAATGGCTATCTTCAATACTTCCATGTCTATATATTTTTTTTCTTTTGCAGATACAAAAAATATGATGTTTGACAAAATTGTATAAAGGTAAATAATTTTGTTAATTAACAAATTTTAGTGATACATAACATTACATAAATTATTTTTTTAAAAATTGGTATTAAAAGTTGTCTTTTACATAATATTTATTAAGTATTAAAACAGCACTTTTTTTACAGAATGTAATAGTTATTTGTTTTTCAAGTTTTGAAAAGCGACTTTTTCATGCGAGTGTTTAAGTTGCTTACGAGGCCGTTAGGCCGAGTGTGCATTTATATGAGCTTGAAGAAAGCTTTTCTTACAAGTAAAACACAATGTTTTTTCTACGACCTTTTTGTTTTTTATTATATTTAAATACAAAACAAAATAACCTAAAAACGTGTTTGACAGCTCTGCTAAAATTACTTTCATCTTATTCTTTTAATTTTTAACGTATAATTTACTTAAAATCAATAAACTTACCTTCTCAATTTAAATAAAGGCACTAAAAATTTGAATTTATTATACAAACACAATTAATTGTGTTCTATATGATATTTACAAATACAATACAAATTTTGAAACGAATGTCAAACGATCCTGTCAATTTCTTTTCACACAGACCTGTCACTTTTTACACAGAAATGTCACTTTACATTCGTGTTTTGCCTTGCCAATGAAAATATTCATTTTCTAAGCAACGATGCCAATACGAAATGTGACTTTTACATAGTGGTCGTAGAAAAAAGACTCGTGTTAATGCACACTCTGCCTAACGGCCTCGTAAGCAACTTAAACACTCGCATGAAAAAGTCGCTTTTCAAAACTTGTAAAACAAATAACTATTACATCTGTTGCTATGGATGTAAAATACTTTCATTCTCAAATGCAAAAGTAGCATTTCACAATCTAGCATAAAGCATGCTGTATAAAAATCTAAAATTCCAGTATTTCCTTAATTTGTAACCATTCAACCCAAATGTTTAGTGATGAAATTATAGTTCAAATGATTACATTTGATTACACAACCATTTGTCTTTCGCTCCTAACTGAAAATTAAATTCTCATAAAATATTCCTTATTTTACCAAAGAAAATATTTTCATGTTTATATTTTTTACAGATTCTCCAGCAGTTAATCATTTGAAATAATAATAAAAGGCAAAATAAATAAGGTATGTTGAATTATTCAAATTTATAATTTAATACATTTTTAATGATGACTGGCATGCACCACTCTGAATCATGGTGTAGAGAAAGAAGCCACTGGACTGAATTAAAATATTAACTTTTAAATCTGTTAAAAAAAATAAAACAAAAACTTAAATTATTTTTTTATTTTTTAGAAACTATCTTATCCCAACTAGAAGAAATCTTGCCTAAAGAGGAATTTTGTTTTATAAGGTATAATTTCTTCTATATGTATATGTATTTTAATGAGTCTTTTTTAAATTAAAGTGATGAATGGCATGCACCACTCTGAATCATTCTGTAGAGAAACAAGCCACTAGACTGACTTACAAAAATATATAAATATATAAATATTTTTTATATTTAAAGCATAAACAATTGTATTTTTGTTGTAGGGACATTTATGAGCAATGCAGGAGTATTCCTACACAAGTCCACAAGTGTAATAGTGTAATAACAAACACAGGTAACTACTTTTTATTAAATAAAGAAACATTAAAAAATTATTAATATTACAATTTTACATGATGAGCTTATAGTTCAGATGAGACTAATGATTATATCCTTATTAATGTCTTTCGCTCCTATCTGATTTTACAATAATGTATTTATTTTTTAAAATTAATGAACTAGTAATTTTAAATATATTTTTTATGTTTCAGGAAGAACCATTAAATTGAAGGTAACCATTTTTTATTTATTTTTATCAAAATATTGTTCAATATGATGCTTTTGGTAATTTGCGACTGAAAATCTATGTCGACAATTTTAACTGATTTTTTGTTGTAACAATGTAAGTTAACTTAACTTTAATTAACATTAAAGTTTGATTTTTCTTTTCAGGAGTGATGCAATAAATAATTGAACTAAATCGTAATTGGAAGTGGTCTTAACCTTCTTTATCCCTTAGACAGCACCATTCCAGAAAATGTTCCACGGTAGCAAGTAATATAGATTTATTAAAATATCTTAATTTCTTCAGATCCGTATTTAGCTACTATTAGGCAAAAACTTTATATTGTTAAGGAAAGGGAATTTCTAGAGGAAGTTATGTCACTTTAAAACCTTGAATAAATAATATGTATATAGTTAGTTTTTTTTATTCGAAATTTGACGTTAAAAATTTGGAATTGGCAATTATTTCTGTTATATTGACAGCAATGTTTATTTTTAACAAAAAAAAGACAAAACAAATTAAAATGTCATTTTAGCCTAAACCAACTTGGATATTATTTTATATGTATTGTATAAAGTTTTAATCACCAAATTACTAAATAAAATATTGTAAGATTATATATGTATGTACTTGACCGTTACAATATTAGCATTAAAAAAAAATTTGCGAAATATCAAATAGTTTCCGAGTTATAAGCCCATGTCCGAAAAAGATATACTTTCGTTCCACCGCTGCACAGTGGTCGGAAACGCACAAAAAGCTGGCCAAAATTTAAATAGAGAGCGCATTTATTTTAAAATAAATACCCACCTTTATGTTTTTGAGGTCCGAGAATTCGAATTTGGGGTCAAAATAGTAAAAAACCAAATGGCCGCCACAAAATGACGGACTAAAAAAACTGACGAAAAAGTACTAGAAAGGGGTTTTCGGGGTAAAGGACCTTAAATTTGAGGTCAAAATGATAGAGAACAAAATGTTTACCACAAAATGGCTGTTTGTTTTTGTTAAAAATAACGTTGCACCCGTGGGGTCGATTTCACACGCATATGAGTAGCATAGTCGTGCGCGCCCTCGCTATGAGCGCACGACGTGATCAACACTGCTTATTGGCAGTGATGCCAGATTTTATCAAAAAAAAAGTAGATTTTGTTTTTATTCACATTATAATTCCAAAAATGAATCAATAATAATGAAATAACGTAAAATTGCAATTTGCATTGTTTCACTAGGTAAGTTCAATCAAAACGACATGCATCGCGCGTAACCGGTCAACGCGATAATTCGACAAAAACATATCCTTATTACATTGCTGCAATCGGGTTGTGTTTGTATTGTATTTATTTTTTTATTGTGTTTGTTGTGTCCACGTGATATTATAGTTAGGTATAAATTGATAAAGTTATTAAGGATTTCAGACTATGAAAGTATATTCTAATCAAAATCACTTCTTATAAGAATTAGAGTTTTTATTTACTTTTGGGATTTTGATTAGCCAGTTTCCCATGTTTTATTTACTTAAAGATTTGTAATTACTTTGTAATTTTTTTTATTTTACTTTGTTTTTAAAATTACCTGTGCATTTTTATTTAAGATATCACAAAATATTTTGTGATTTTACTTTTGTGATTTTTGACAGTAAGATTTTTTATTTTACTTTTGTAACTTTTAAAAATATTGATCAACCTGTGCATTTTATTTACTTTAAGATTTTGTGATTTTACTTTTGTGATTTTTGACAGTACCTATTTTTAAATTCACTTGATACATATATCATATAATACATATATTGATATATTAATATTAATCAACTTGTGAATTTTTATTTAACAGAAGATTTTTATTTACCTACTTAAAAACTTTGTTATTTTTGAAAGTATTTTTAAAAACAGCTTTTTTTGTTTAAGATTTTTAATTACTTTAGGATTCTATTATTTTGATTGGATTTTCAAAATCACTTGATTAATTGATCAACATGTGAATTTTTAATTTAAAATCACTTAATTAATTAATCAACATATGTGCATTTTTATTTTCTTCAAGATTTTTATTTACTTTAAGATTTTGTAATTTTACTTTTGTGATTATTTAGTTTAGTATTATTAAGATTAAGATTTTTTTATTTTACGTTTGTGATATTTATTTACTTTTTAAAGTGATTTTGATTAAAATTTGCATTTTTATTTACTTTTTCCCTTTACTTGAATGTATATATATATATATATATATATAGGTATATACATTATATATACAAGGTGTCCCTTAACTTAGTGGCATAAATTTAGGAGCAGATTAAGCAAGTCAAAATAAGACGAAAATCTAAATAAATATTTTTCCTAATTACGTATGTTTAAAATATACAGGGTGATAAAGTGTTACTTATCATATCAGTTTTTTAATATAACTTCTACTATGGTAAACTTGGAAAGGTGATATTTTGCGAACAGTCACTTACTACCAAAACACATATTTACACATAATTACAATTGTTTGAGTGAACATAGTGTCGTAGAAACGGGGGTTGCTTGAAGCTTATTGTCCCATACAAACTTTGAGGTTAGGTTTTTGTAACATTTGATGCAATTTTTCGATTAAACAGTTCGGCTACCGTTAAAAAGGTGTACCTCTTAAACTTCGATAAAATAAACCGTTTCCGAGATATTCGAGATTACAATAATTGTTATATCGCATTATTTAAAAGGATTAAACGGCATATGATAACTAATTTTATTTTTTAATTGAATAAACTAAAAAGGGCATTCCATGAGCCTCGGGACTTTTTGCCCTGACCGTCACATTAAAAAAATGTAGTTTTTTCAATTAAAAAATTTGTTAACATATACCTTTTAGTCCTTTAATGCGATATAACAATTATTGTAATCTCGAATATCTCGGAAACGGTTAATTTTATCGCAGTTTGAGAGGTACACCTTTTAAATTTAATAGTAGCCGAACTGAGTAATCGAAAAATTGCATCAAATGGTATAAAAACCTAACCTCAAAGTTTGTATGGGACAATAAGCTTAAGTAACCTCTGTTTCTACGACACTGTGTTCACTCGAACAATTGTAATTATGTGTGAATATGTGTTTTGCTAGTAAGTGACTGTTCGCAAAATATCACCTTTCCAAGTCTACCGTAGTAGAAGTTATATTAAAAAAACTGATACTTAAGTAACACTTTATCACCCTGTATCTTTTAAACATACGTAATAAGGAAAAATATTTATTTAGAATTTCGTCTTATATAGACTTGCTTAATCTGCCCATAAATTTATGCCACTAAGTTTAGGGACACCTTGTATATCGACGGCACAAGCGCCAAAATTTTTAAAAATTTGTTTCAGGTCGATGGAGTTCTAGCTAGAGAATTTAATTCTCTATCAACCTGTACTTCTAACAATTTTTCGAAAAATTTGCGCTTGCGCCATTTTGCATTAAACCCGTCGTTATATATGCATTTCCTTTTGAAATATACAACTTTTTTGACTCATTCATCATGTTCGCTGGAAATGCTTCGGCACACGTGCGCTTTAAATGCGGAGGCACACGTGCGCTGAATATGAAACGCATATGTAATCGCATCTGTATAGTGATCTGCGCGCACGCGTGCCGTTTAAAGACGAACGCGTGCACTCACAGTGCGCGGATCGTGACCACATTTTGCTATCTGGGATTGTTTAAAAATTTCCTATAATATATTATGTCACTAGGGTAGCGCTGAAAAACTAACTTTCTTTTGAAAAATTTAATTTAAATTCTGCTTGCGCAGAACTTGTCTATTTAATGACATTAAATAGACATATGTCTACTAACTGAGATATCGGTAAACCCAAAATCTACAATCTGCCACTGCAAGTATCTTTTTTGTAGGTGGTAAATGCAAATTAAAAGTTAAAAACAGTTTATTAGTATAAAAATTATATACAATAGTAAATTCTTTATAAATACATAAATAAAACATTAACTAAAATCAAGAATTTGCACGCATATCCAATATGCTCAGCAAACTTTTCAAGGCATGAACCGAATTCTTAAAGACGTTCGGTTTGTGCTTGTACTCCAGGCCCCAATCTGGTGTGGTGGAGGGCAAAGGTAAATTACCTTGGTGAGCAAACAATGAACTGCCCTTCACACCAGTTTTTCCAACCATTTTTTCTTTGCGGTAGGTCAAAGTTTGGACTTTCAACAATCGTTGTTGCAAATGTGGCACTTTTAAAATCACTGCTTTGTATTCTGGCTTGTGTGAGAAGAGCCATAAAAGGGTGCAGATGGCTGGAAATAAAGGAGCTTCTTTGTCGCACCAATTTAACATTACCGTTACCATGTTGTCCATATAATCTCCAACAAAGCTTTTTTCAGTGGTAGGCTCGTATTTGTAAAAATTAATAAGAATTGAGCATGCCAAAGTACAAGCTGTCATCTCTGGTAAAGACCGCGCGGTATAACTTATCATTAAATAGAGTTGATCGGGTAAGATTTTGCTCATTTTTAAGCAAGTATCCTTACATCTCCTTGTGATAAAATCTAAAAAAAAATATATAATAAATCCGTGATCTTATAATTTAATAAAATATCATACCTATATCTTCCAAAGCCCTGATAATTTGCAGTAAAGATGTATGATCTAAGATAAGTATATCCACAGCCTGATCACATCTTTGGGCCAATGTGTTTCTAGGAGTTGCATTTTTATTTGCATTCTCGACACGTTTACGAATCTTTGCCATTTCAGGGTCAATTTCAATAGATCTTTGCCTATATCCTTTCCAAGTGGCCTATTAATGAAACAAAAAGTTAGATCAAAAATAAAAAAACGTAAACCAAAATACCTGAATTTTCGATGCAGCTGCATTTTGTACCCTGATTAGCCTCCTTTCCTCTTTAGCTTCAGGTGTTAAGTATTTAGCATACTTCTTCCTCACCAAAAAACCTCTCACGCATTTTTGTAATTGTATACTTGCCAGACGTTTCTCTATAAATATTTTTCTCTCACATTGCATTTTTTTATACCCATAATAAAAATTCTGTATAATTAAGATCGCTTCACGCACCCTATAAAATCGATTTCTTTCTTTCCTCATTAAAATTGTAGCTCTAAATTTGTTTTGCAGGTGCAAAACCGCTTTTCGTACATTTTGGTATCTCCGCAATTCTTCTTTCATCAATCTATTCGCTCTGAATCGCTGTTGAACTACGTTAACGTATTTTCTGAGCTCCAGATAAGCTGTTCTTTCTTTTATCATCAATTTTTGGGCTCTGAGCCTGCGCTGAACTAGAATGCAGGAATTCTTTAACAACACAAAATCACTTCTTGCCACCTTCATAGCTATTTGAGCTCTGAATTGCCTTTGAACAGCAACAGCGGCATTTCTAGTCTTTTGATATTCATTTATTGCTAATGTCATTGCTACTTTAGCCCTAAATTGTTGCTGAATTATAACGCAAGACTTTCTTAGAGTTACGTAACTTTCTCTGTCGATTCTCATTTTTAAGATAGCACGATATCTAATTTGCACATTTGTCACATTTTGTTTTAGAAGCATGTATGAATTTCTTTCATTTTCCATTGCTTTTTTAGCTCTGAAGTAAGTTTGAATTACAATTGCAGATTTCCTTAAAACCAGGTAGTTGTAACGTTGCATTTTGGCTACTTTATTCGCTCTATATTTTCGTTGTACAAAAATAATACTTTTTCTAATATTTTCGTAATTTTTCTTCTGCACTTGCATGGCTTTTTTGGCTCTATATTTTCTTTGAAATACTAAAATAGCATCCTTTAGTTTTAGGTAATTATTTCTTTGAATTGACATTGCTTTGTTAGCATTGAATCTGCTTTGAACGAATACAACAGATTTTTTTAAGGTATCATATTTTTGCCTTTTATATCTCATTAATAATTGTGCTCTATATCGTGTTTGAATAATTATTGTCGCTTTTTTAAGTGTTTCATAGCGATTTTTTTCTAGTATCATTATTTGTCTTGCTTTAAACTTTTGCTGTATTTTAATTGTGGCCTTTTGAATTGCTTTGTATTCAGATAAAGCCTTTTTCATAGCTATATTTGCCCTAAATATTTGTTGTATTAATACAGTGGTTTTTTTAAGAGCGGAATATTCATTTTTCGCCTTTATCATGCTCTTTTTGGCTAAATAAGTTTCTTCAACAATTTTTACTGAATGTTTGAGTTTTCTGTAATAATCTCTTTGTTTTCTCATGATAAGAATAGATTTATACCAAATTTGGATTTTGATAATTGCAGTCTTTTGTAATAAATACTTTCTCCTTTGCATATTCATTAAGCAGTTTGCTCTATATCTACTTTGTAATAATACTGTTGCCTTTTTAAGTTCCAAATAACTGTTTCTTTGAATCTTGGCTGATTTATTGGCTTGGAACCTAGTTTGTAAAGTTATGGCAGCATTTTTCATTTGCAAATATTGTTTTTTGCATATCCTCATTTGCATTGTTGCTCTTAATTTTTGTTGGATGGTAACAACAGCTTTAATAGTTTTTCTAAATATTTCTTGTTGAGTTTCCATTCTCTTTTTTGCTATATACCTTTCTTCAACTATCCTTACTGCCTTTTTTAAGGTTTGGAATTTTTGCTTACATTGTCTCATTGCTTGAATGGATCTATACCAAGTTTGAATTTTAACAATGGCAGTCTTTTGAAGTAAATACTCTCTTCTATGAAATTTCATTAAACAATTTGCTCTATATCTCTGTTGTAATAATTTTGTAGCCTTTTTAAGTTCCAGATATCTGTTTCTTTGAATCTTAGCCAATTTATCGGCTCTTAATCTAGTTTGTACTGTTTTTGCAGCATTTTTCAAATCGAAATAATGTTTTTTACATATCCTCATTTGCAATGTGGCTCTTAACTTTTGTTGTATAGTTACCACAGCTTTAATAGTTGTTCTAAATATTTCCTGCTCAGTTTCCATTTTCTTTTTCGCTATGTACCTTTCTTCAACTGTTTTTACTGCCTTCTTTAATGTTAGGTATACTTCCTTACATTGTCTCATAATTAAAATTGATCTGTACCAAGTTTGGATTTTAATTGAAGCATTCCTTAAAGTTATAAACTCACTTCTACATTTAGCCATTAACTTATTAGCCCTGTATAACCTCTGAATAAAAATTGTTCTATCTTTTAATCTAATATATAATGTTCTGTGAGATATACACAATTGTTTGGCTCTGTATAGACATTGAAGAACAGTAGCTGCTTTCTTTATCGTTTGATATCTTTCCTTATGCTGTCTCATTATTTGGATTGATCTATACCATGTTTGAATTTGTATTGAAGCTTTTCTTAAAGTGATAAACTCATTTCTGATTTTGGTCATCAACTTATTAGCCCTGTATAACCTTTGAATATAAATGGTTTTATTTTTTAAATCATTATAGGATTTTCTTTGGGAAATACATAATTGATTGGCTTTGTAACGAGTTTGAAGAACAATAGCAGCTTTCTTCAATTTTTCATAGTTGTTCTTATCTATTCTCATCCGAACCAAGGCCCTGTATTTTCTTTGTAATTCCACTGAAGCATTCTTAAGTTTGACATATTGTTCACGTTCTTTTTTAGCGATAATGTTGGCTCTGAATCTTGTTTGCACTACTATGGCACTTTTTTTTAATGCGTGGTAATAATTTCTTTGCTCTCTCATTTTTTTCATGGCTCTGTATTGAATCTGAATAACTCTAGTAGCATGTTTTAACCTTAGGAACTTTCTTCTTTGTAAAAAGCTTCTGGTGAAGCTTTGCAATTTCACAGCGGCAACAATACCATGCCTTCGTATGTTTCTTATTAACCAACCTTTGGCATAACGTTGTATATTTATGATTATTGATATTTTACACAAAAAGTCTTTACGACACAAATGCATTCTAAAGCATGCTTGTATTTTTGTGGCAGCGTTTTGTTTTCTTAAACTATCCAAGTGATAATGCAACATAACAGCAAAAAAGAATAATTTTTCTGATAGTATTTGTCTTTTGTACCATTTTTGTATTTTAGTGGCGGCTTCAATTTTAGATTGACGTATTCTATCGAGTTTTCTTCTTTTTAGAACGACTGGAAGACTTCTGTACCATTTTTGTATAGTTGTGGAACTTTTAACCATTAGTGGGGCTTCAAATTTGTAGATGATTTGCCACAAAAATGACAATGATTTTTCTTTATGACCGTCTACGATGTCCTTTGGTTCTATATCGTATAGTATCTTAAAACCTTCCGCTTCAAGAGAGTCGAAAACTATTTTAACGTTATGTATTTTTTGTAGTCTTGATATTGCCGGCACTCTTAGTAAACTCGTTAGGCCATTCTTAAGCAAGATAATCTCCATTACTTTGGTAAGACGCACTCCGTCTCTCAAGTCGACTCCTAAATTTGTTACCGCGTAATCAAATTCGTTGATGAAGGTTTGTTTGTGAGTGACAAAATATCCAAAATATTTTAAAAACTTGGTTATATCACCTACACCAGAAAGCGTTTCTTTTGCAAACCTTATTAGAATTTCTCTGCTTTCTTTAACAGGTGCATTTTTGCGAAACAAACAGGGATCGTGTGCTATTATTTTTTTATTTTTTGCTTGATCCAAGAAGTAAATCAACGATAAAAACCTTTTCAAAAATATTTTTTTAAATGGTTCTTTGTATTTTGGATCTATTAATGATTTATATTTCTTTACCAATTTAGGCTCTTTGAAAAATCTTTCTGCTAAGAAACTGCTTAGGCCTGTTATGTCAGAGTTAGAATGTAAAGGAATTTCTTCGTTGTAAACCGTTTCCAGCCCTATTCTTAGCCACAGAGCATTATAACTTAACAGAAGAGACATAAGCTCTGATTTAATATTTAAATCTAGGTAAAATTCCTTATCTGTTCTTATGTTAAGCTTTCCACCATCAATACTGATAACTAATTTTGATAAAACAGTTGCAATTTCCAAACTCCTATACAAAATTTGTGCGTTTTTTCTTAGAGAGGTCAGTTTAACGGACGTGTGGTATTTATTTGATAAATATTCTTTTGTAGGAACTACTGCTACATCGCGATTTTTAATATCTTGCCAAACTTTTGCCACGTCTATTTTAACATCAGATTTTGTTTCAAATTCAGCTGGAGGTGTTAAAAGAGCATTAAGCCATTTCATAAAGTGATTTATCTGTTTGGCAATCCAATCTTCATCAGAATAAACCTAATTAAATTAAATTAATGTAAATAGAAAATTGTAAAATCGGTGGTAATTCGTTAAACTTACCTGTGAAGTCATAAAAGGGTCGATCTTATTAGTAGCAGCTAGCAAAAACGGGTTATTAATAATGCAGGTTTTAGTCTCTTTCGATGTAAGTTGTTTACCATTATTAGTTTTATTTAAATTTAGTGCTGAAACTGATTTTGATATTCTTAGTGCAGCTCCAGAAGATTTTGACCAATTTAGAGACATCCTGGGTTGTCTTTCCAAAAGAGCTTTTTTAGGAGGTGAAAATGCATAAGTGTCGATTTTTCTTTTTAACGAGAGTCTGTGAGGATTTTGGGGCAGTTTAAAGTCATGTAATCTAAAAATAATATGTTATTAGTTAAACAAGTTTAAATAAGGGCCATTCTACAATAATTCACTTAATCATGTTGCTTTATAATTATTTTGGGCTCATATTTATAACAAACATACGTAAAATATGTAAAAAGTAACTTACTTATGTTACTGCATGCAACTTGCAGTAAAATATTGATACATGCATCAAATAACATTGTATGTGACATTTTCAGTTTTTTCTTTTATATAATTTATTGGATGAGACACAAAAAAACTGGAACTGAAAAATGCCACATACAATGTTATATGAATATTTTATTACTTACTATGTTGTTTTCGTATCAATGTGGCTTTAAAATACCTGTCTAATAAAAAATTTGCATTTTTATTTAAAATTTAACTTGAACAATAATTAGGGGGCCGTTCACATATAACGTCACGTTCTAGGGGGTTGAACGATTTGTGACCAAGTGTGATGGGGGAGTAGGGGGGGTTATTAGCTATGTGATGTTACGTTAGACATAAAAATATTTAAATTAATATTAAAAAAAATAATATTAAATTTTTACGTGAATTTTGTGGAATTTGTGACGGTCCTAGGGGGAAGGTCGAAAAAGTTTTAAAATCGCGTAACCTAATATGTGAAAGGATCCCTTAGTATTTAATTTTATGTTTAAATAAAATCCATAAAAGTAAAAAATAATAATAATTCAAACGCAATAATAATTTTTTCGTTTGAAGTTACATTGTAGTGTTTTGCCTTTTTTTATTCGCATTATAAAATATTTGTAACATTATGTTTAAATAAAAGGCATAAAAGTAAAAAATAATAAATATTCAAACGCAATACTAATTTTTTCGTTTGAAGTAAAATGGTAGTGTTTTGCCTTTTTTATTCGCATTATAAAATATTTGTAACATTATGCAACTTACATACATATATAATAAGGCATTTAGTATTTTTCCCTGTTGTTTAAAATTTAATATATATCTGAATTACTTAATGGATCCTAAGTAAAGGTATTGCTGGATATATTCAGCAATACCTTTGCTTAGTATCCATTAGGTAATTCAGATAATATTAAGTAAAGTTTTTTACTAGACAGTTATTTAAAAACTAGCTGTTAGCTTCAGTTAATTTTTTTTACATATTATAACGTATTTTCAATGTGAATTTGAAAATTAATTAACATTGTTGGGCAACAGGATTGGGCGATTTTTGGTATGGAATAATATTTATTTAACACCAGCAAGAAATATGTAACTTTGTGGCCCTACTGAGGGTGGGCAAAATAAAATTGGAAAAAAGTGACGTTAAAACTGTGTCAGTTGCCATATTAAATACCAAATATGGCTTTAAATCCTTGGCCCATAATTGTATTGGTTCTTTAATTGTTTATAATTCGTTTTCACACTGCAATGTATATTTCTTGCGGTAATTGAATAAAATATTGTGTGCGACTATTGGTCGAAAGAGGAGATTCCACTCGTGTGCTAACTTCACGCTCGAGGAATCTTCCCTTTTTCCCACTAGTCGCACAATATACTATTCTTACGTAGTATTTTGTTTTTTTCGTTCTTGCAAATCTTCATAGGACTTCACAGAGTTGGATTTTTTCTCACTCCACATATTTGCCCCTATAACGCTTTTGCAACCTTCTCCATGCAGGCTTTGTAACCTACTCTTGTTTGAAAAGCTTAGGCTTTGGTGAATATTATGAGAATCATAATGGGCATTATTGGTGTTATTGTGATCGTTTATGGACTCCGACAAAGCTGCGACGTCTCCTACAGATGTGTCTTTTACGTAGGTGCCTCCACTTACGTTGCCTTTTACGTAGGTTTCAAAGCTTGTGTGGCCTTTAACGCAAGTGCTAGTGCTACTGTTCAGCTTTGCTATGATGGATTCGCTTGGGCTGAACATAAGGTTTTGGATTTTGTCCTCTATTCTTGTACTGTTTGGCGATTGAAAATCGAATGTTATGTTTTCTGACGAACAAAGATCTAATCGGTTTATTTTATCAGCAAAATTACTAACCGAGTTTGACATGGTTATATTGGATTTATTTGGTGTTTTTGTTGGTGAAAACTTAAAGCTCATGTAATCTAATTTGTAACTGAAATTAGTAGTATAGTTATTTTCCACTAGCGGGCTAAGTATCCTTCTATTTCCTACTTTGTAAACTGGTGGATCTGGTGAAATTGATTCCAAACTATCATTGAAAATTTCTGGGCTTTTGGGAGGTTTTATTATAATATTATTTAAAGTATATGTTTGCCGTCTAGTATCATCTTTATGTGCCAATAAATATGGAGCTTTATTAGGGGAGATATATCTATTTTCTTTGCCTTTAATACAGAACGTTTCTCTTCTATTAGGCGATGTTGTAATTACAATGCCCGGTATACTTCTTTGCATTTGCGGAGGTGTTTTAGTTTGACTATTGCTCATCATTAAGGGTGGTCTACATCTAGGAGAACTCTTCTTTTGAGGTGATTTTACTTTGGTTGATATTACTTTTTTCATAGGTGATTTGGCTTTTTTAGATGCAAGAAATTGTTTTGGTTTGGTTCCCGTTTTTTTCTGTAAAATTAATTAGTTTGGTAAATTTATTCAAATTATTTATAATTTATATTTTGTATTATTAAGTGCAATTTATATTTTGTATTACCAAGTGCAACATAAAGGTTAGGAAAAAATTAAATGGTGGATTCCTTGGTAAAAAATAATATTTTTTCATATGAAGTTATCTACAGGTTTTCATTTCCAAGTTACAAGGTGTAGATTTTTTTAATTTTGTTAATAACTTTTAAAATCTTTGTATGCTTTTTTTAATTACAAGAAACAGAAAGAGATACAAAGAAAACGCAAGAATTTTGTTCAACACAAAAACATATTTTTGTCAGTGGAGTACCATATTTTTTTTATAAAACCTTAGGAATATATAGTATATAAACTCCTGGACAAAATTAACGCAACATCAAAAAATTTGCCACATTTTTTATGCTATTTTTTTGTTGAATTTATAATCTGATTTGAATGATTTTTTTTGCATTGTATGTTGGTTCCTTGACAATGTCATAATATTCGCTGTTTATAATAAAAAGTTCATTTTCGATTTATACCGCGTGTAATAAAAAAGTAATGTTTTTTTCCGAAAATTCGTATCACCCTGTGGAGTATATTAGCAACCAAAACATATAGCAGTTGACATTAGACGGTAGGTTCATCTTTCGCCAACATTTTCTTTTTTGGTTTACTTCATTATCTTTGTTATTAAAGGAGATACGCCGTTTTATACCGTAACATGTTTTTATAGACTTTATTATTCAAAACAATCATTGTTAAATGTTTTCAAGTAGGCTATGGACCTTTTCTGACATTTCAAGAGATGTTTAGATTATTTGTTATCTGTATAATTTCTGCTCGCTTTGATAAATGCATAATCCTGCATAAATAAACTATTTGGTCCCAAAAAAGGAACAGATGGCATTACATGTTCAATTACAATGTTTTCTAGATAATAATCGGCGTTCATTGATCTTACACGTATAGGGACTAACTCTGTGCGTCAGTTGAAGCATATTCCTCCCCAAAACATTACAGAGCCTTTACCAAACGGGATTTTAGGAGAGATATTGCCACTTGCAAATCTCTCTCCTGACCTTCGCCAAACACGTTCACACCATCAGGAGAATTGAGACTAACTCTCGTTTCATCAGAAAATTAAACCTTCTTTAACAGTCCAATGTTGATAATTTCTGGCAAAACGCAATCTTGAAACTCTGTGCTCTCTGGTAAGTAATTGTTTCTTTGCCGGTCTTCTTTTGCTTAAACCTGCCTCATTCAAACGTCTCCTGCAGGATCACAATCATGATTGTTCGAGACGATATTGTATTATGGCGAGCAGTTCTAAGCTAGCCTAGTACTAGTAATCTTCCTGTTTCTAGAGCAGTTTGCCTAATAAAACGCTCATCCCTTGGATCGGTACATCGTTTTCGCCCTTGTACTGACCTTGAAGAGTAAGATCCTGTCTCGTTAAATCGTTTAACCTTACGACTTATAGTCGAACGATGTCTTCCTATCACATTAGCAACATGACATCGAATAGCCCTCATCCACCAAAGTTAAGTCTCTTACTGCTTCTTCTGTCGAAAATTTTTTTGGACGATTCATTTTTCAAGATTAAAATACGAAACGAACGTTTAATAAGCAGTTTTCGAACAGTTCTTATAAGTATGGCGAATTTTTCATAGCCTACTTGAAAACATTTAACAATTAATGTTTTGAATAATAAAGTCTATAAAAACATGTTACGCTATAAAACAGCGTATCTCCTTTAATAACAGAGATAATAAAGTAAACCAAAAAAGAATATGTTGACGAAATATGGACCTACCGTCTAATTTTAACTGCTATAGGTTTCGGTTGCTAGTATACTTCACAGGGTGATACGAATTTTCGGAAAAAAACATTACATTTTTATTACACCCGGTATAAATCGAAAATGAACTTTTTATCATAAACAGCGAAAATTATAACATTGTCAAGGCACCAATCTACAATGCAAAAAAAAATCATTCAAATCGGACCCTAAATTAAAAAAATAAATAGCATAAAAATTTGACAAATTTATGATGTTGCGTTAATTTTGTCCAGGAGTTTATATAGTATATATAGTATATATATATATATATATATATATATATATAAAGTGCTCTTTTAGTTCCACCCTTACATCCAAACTAAGATGTCCCATAAGCCAACTGAATGGCTTGTGCGGGTTAGGGGTAGGAACGGACCGACGGCTTAAAGTCCCCTCCGAAGGACTATACACAATGGACAAACACAAATAAACAACCATACCAAAGTGGGATTCGAACCCACGACCTCTCGGCTCGTACCCAGGAGCTCTGACCACTACACCACCGAGGCCGGTATATATATATATTTATGTATAGTATATATTATATACGTATACGTGTACACCAATAAGTATTCTACAAAGTAATTTATTTGACTTACTAAAGCATTGCCAAATAAATCAATTACTAATAATAATAAATGTATCTGTAAACACATTAAGCTAAATTTTCATTTATCCGTTTGTCTGTTGTTCAATAGAAAATAAATTATTTTAAAATAAGGTAAGGCGACAAAAACGGATGCGTAGGAGCGGATGAGTTAATTTTTTTAACTTTTTCCGACAGACGTACGAAGTTGAAACTCGAGGGACCGATGAAATGGAGTAATTGTCGAATTATAATTGGACCAATGAGAATCTTTTGGATGATTGGACAAACGGATACATGAAAAATTAGCTTTGGGCCGCAAGTATGTTGGAGTTGTGATAAACGAAAATCGTCGCGTATTAAGTACATTTTTTAAATCACATTACACATTTTTTGCCTACATTTTTTAGCTCTTTCCAATGATTAAACAACATTGCAAGTTGCACGTTTGTGCCAAGTAAAAATGTGTAGTTATAATATTAAGTAATAAAGTAAAACGAGGGTACTCATGTTTTTAAGACCTCTGCGAGTTTGATTTAAAATAAATTTTAATTAGAAGTGACTGTGGTGATGCTCATACTGGTAGTGAAATGGAATGGGTTATAGAAGGTCAAAAGAAACGGGAACGCAAAAGATCTAAGAAAGAATTGTTAAATAAGATTATATTAAGTAAATTTAAAATCGGGCAACAAAAAAACACCGCTAACAAAAAAACTACACTACACAATAATGTAAATAACAATTACTACTAATTAGTACAGAAAATTCTAAAAATCCACAAAATTTTAATTCATTAAATTCTTAATATTAATCACCTAATACTTGAAATTCCCAAAATTCTTCACCTTATAAAATAAAAAAAATATTCTCTAAAAATAAACTATATCATTGACAGAAACTACATTAGCACTATTTTTGTCACAACCAGTAAAGATCAAGGTTGACAGGTACAGGTTTTTAGAACCTAGGTTTTTTAGGTTTTTAAAAAAAATCTACTCATTCAAATAACCTAATTTTAGGTTTTTTATCTTCAAATGACAAAAATCGCTTTTTTGAGGTTAACATGTTTTAAAACAAAGATAATAGATTATATTGTAAAACATGTTTACTAGAATATTGATCAGATATCTGATAATATAATCACTGACTGATCATATGATCACTGACTGACTGAGTCTCAGTCTCAGTCACTGAGAGAGAATTTAAAGTTCCATTGAACTTCAATATTTTATGATTATGTCGATCCATTTTTATTTTTAAATAAATATTATGTATTTATCTATATGTGTTCAGTACTATTAATTAACATTACAAATCAGCAATTTTTAATCGTCCAAAATTCCATCTTAAAAAACCTAAAAACCTAAAAAACCTTAAAAAACATAAAAAACCTTAAAATCTACAATTTATTTTCCTATTCTTAGGTTTTTTCCAACCCTGGTAAAGATCTTACAGAAATCCAATTCTCAGATACTACTTACTTACTTACTTACTTACTATAGGAGAGGTAAAAAACGATGAATAAAAGTGTCATAAAAAATATTGAAAACAGCAAAGCTCCAACCAAGGAAAATTACAAACTCCGTAGTAACTTTACCTATGCCGCAGTAATCTCGTCAGGATGAAGAAAATGGTAAACGTCTAATAGATTCCTCAATAAACTTTAGATACTGCAAAGAGTAACTTTAAGAGCTACAGGTAAAGTTACTACTTTAATTAGAATAATCACAGAATGTATTAAATCTTATGAAAAACTTTTGAATGAGGGCATTTTCTTTTAAAATAGACATTATGCTGTATATACATGCCTACCCTCCCCACCACTACCAATTCCATGCAACAATTGCTCCCATCACACACACACGACTATCTGTACTAAATGTCGATGAAATCACAATTCAAATCCTGTCAAACAACCTCCGCCAAAATGCACTGCTTGGTTATGGCATGTCCAAAAAGGCTTACTAATCCCATTGACAAGATACCCAATATTAAAAATAAGTCTAATAATATAAGATCAGTCAAATTAAAAGTTAAAACTAGAAAAGAAAGCAGAATCCATAACATGTATACAACACATGATCTAATTTTTGACACATACATAACTAAAATAAACAACCTAAAATATTCATTCAACAGACAAGATCTTAAAGAAAAACTGAAAAAAAGATTCAAAAACTTATATAACAATAATACTGTTAATTAAGACTGTATTTTCTAGTAATATTCCCTAAAAATGAATTAGTCAAAAATAACTAATTACTACAGTTATTAGTGGCTGCTTTTTCACTTATACCATGGTATACCTTGAGATAGCAGGGTATCCCCGATATAATAGCCAGTTCTTATGTAAAATTGTCCGCATAATCCGAAAATGTCGTCAAAAGTTATAAAAGTAGAGCAGTTTTTGAGATATAGTATACCGTATAAGTGAAAAAGCAGCCACTAATAAGTGTAGTAATTAGTAGAGATGGGAATCGGAAAGTTTCCATTTTAAGGAAACTTTCCGTTTTGGAAAGTTTCCAATTGGGAATTTATTTTCATTTTGAAAGTTTCTTTTAAGCTACCGGA